ATATCGCTATGTATATTTTGCACAAGGAAGCTTTTAATATAACATACGAGATATTGATTAAACTTTAAACTTACAAAGCGGGACATCTAGCACGCTGCTGGTAAATACGTATGCAAACAACATATTATCAAATATGCACGGACCACACCTTATTACGTGAACATATAACGTATTACGTATATACTGCCTGTGTTTTTACTCACTTGCTATTTATATTTAACATTAATTAAGAAATTTTTAATATATTCGCATTAATTTTTCACACTCGTATCATAAGCGAAAGTGGTTCCTTCCCTTGTTATTGACTTATTGAATCGGACTAATCAGATATTGAACTAGGAATTCCTCTCAAGGTATTAGCGCGGTCGACTAGTTTTTGTTGCATCGGGTCAATAGTCAAGTCTAACTCAGTATACATTTTAACTTATACGTAATTATAATGAATTATTTCTAAACTCTTTGCCGAGTATATTTCAATATTTTATAGCCTACTATTTTATAGCTTAACAGTGTTAGAGCCAAGTGGCAGCCTTTCCTGTTGCACGTATGAGCCGGCTCGAACCGTGGTGGTACCACGACCTCACAGAAGCCCAGCGTGAAGTAGAAGCTCTGCTTCTGCATTTCGTCTGTTGAGTGCAGGTGGCTGGAGGCTCAATTCCTCCCCCCCCTCCATTAACAAGGTAACGGAGTTAAATAAAATACTATCCCAGGAGAGTATCAGCATCCCCGGTGACGGAGAATCCCTCGCTGAGCATCCATGTCCAAGCTACCCTACTCTTTCTTAGCGTTGGTGCTCAAGCTGCCCCGCGTATTCTTGAGGGAGGAGAGGACGAAATTCTGCTCGAAATTAAACTTTCACGGGGCAAACGGAGCTATAAGTCAAACCCACCCTTTTCCACGCTATTCGTGAATTTCTGCAACGTCAGGGGACTCTATTCAAACCTTAACGCTGTCCATTACCATCTGGAAATGGCGAAGCCAGCCTTGCTCTTTCTAAGCGATACACAGGTGTCCTCTCCGTCTGATACGTCGTACCTCTCTTACCCAGGGTACAAATTATAACACTCCTTTGTTACCTTGAGGTACCTTGAGGATCACCAGCTGATTAGTGACCGCCAATACGGTTTTCGCCGTGGTCGGTCAGCTGGTGATCTTCTGGTCTACCTAACTCACAGATGGGCGGAGGCAGTAGAGTCCAAGGGGGAGGCATTGGCCGTTAGTTTGGACATTGCGAAGGCCTTCGACCGGGTTTGGCACAAAGCGCTTCTTTCGAAGCTCCCTTCCTATGGGCTTCCCGAGAAATTGTGCGATTGGATCACCAGCTTTCTTGCAGATCGGAGCATCAAGGTCGTTGTTGACGGTGCAAGCTCCGATTGCAAGCCTATTAATGCTGGTGTTCCACAGGGCTGCGTGCTATCGCCAACGCTGTTTCTTCTGCATATCAATGATATGTTGCAAACCCGTAACATTCATTGCTATGCAGATGACAGCACTGGTGATGCTCTTTACACCGGTCGAGCCAATATTTCTCGGGAAAACGTCTCCGAGTGCCGGAACAAACTTGTGTCTGAAGTCGAGTCTTTGCTGAATAGAGTCTCGGATTGGGGGCGACTAAATCTAGTCCAGTTTAACCCCCAGAAGACATAAGTTTGCGCGTTAACCACTAAAAAGAACCCCTTTGTCGTATCCCCTCAATTTCAAGGCACTCCCCCTTGTTGCCTCAGCCAGTATTGGAATCCTCGGCGTCGACATATCGAGTGACGTGCAGTTTCGTGATCACTTGGAAGGGAAGGCCAAATTGGCCTCTAAAAAGCTTGGCGTGCTCAGCAGAGCGGGACAGTATTTCATGCCGGCACACCGCCTGCAACTTTACAAGGCGCAGGTTCGGCCGCACATGGAATACTGTTCCCATCTCTGGGCTGGGGCTCCCCAGTACCAGCTCCTACCACTTGACCGCATCCAGCGCAGAGCGGCTCGAATCGTCGACGACCGAGTGCTTTCCGAGCGGCTCGATTCACAGGCATTGCGAAGAGATGTTGCATCTCTTTGCATTTTCTTTCGCATATACCATGGAGAGTGCTCTGAGGAATTGTTCGAGAAATTAATCCCAGCCGCCAAATTTCGTGAACGCACTACGCGGCAAACGTCCCGATACCATCCACACCATCTGGATGCTTGGCGGTCCACCACTGTACGTTTCAAAAGGAGTTTTCTTCCGCGTATAACCTTTCTGTGGAATAGTTTACCACCGGCGATTTTTCTGGACCGATACGACCTGGGGACCTTCAAGAAAAGAGCTTACTCCTTTCTAAAGGGCCGGCAACGCACCTGCAATTCCCCTGGTGTTGCGGTTGATTATGGGCGGCGGTAATCACTTAACATCAGGTGAGCCGCATGCTCGTTTGCACCCTCCGCTATAAAAAAAGCCTTGGCTGGGGTTTATGTGTACGTCAGAGAGGACATCTGTTTCAACGATGTATTCTGTGCCTCAGCAGCCTTGAAGGTACGGATCTGTCCATCTTATGGCTGCGCATAGACAACGACGACCATTCCCGCGCCTACGGGTGCCTCTATAGGTCCCATAGCGGTAATGCCGACACAGACCGACTTATCGACCACGTTCAAATGGCTGCAGATTCCGTGCTACAACAGGTCCCATCCGCAGAGATCGTGATACTTGGCGATTTTAACGCCCACCACGCTGAATGGCTTGGTTCTCGTTTAACCGATCATGCGGGTAGATCTGTTTATGACTTTGCTTTGGCCTATGGTCTGACACAACTCTCTACGCGGATCCCAGATGTGAAAAATCATATACCTTCCCTGTTGGACCTTCTGCTGACCTCTCATCCGGATGGATATCAGGTCTCCGTCGATGCTCCTCTTAGCTCCTCGGACCATTGTCTGATCCGGAGTACGATGATCCACTCACGCTCCCTTTGCTTGCCACCGTGTTTGGCAATATAGGTCAGCCGATTGGGACGGATGCTAACTTTTATTGTATCCTACCCTCCAAGGGTTTGCTTTTCGCCAGATGATCCCAACGTTTTTACTGATTCTTTCACTGATGTGGTGCTACAGGGAATGGAACTTTTATTCCATCATCTGTGGTACCTATGGGGGGCAGAACTCAGCCATGGTTTGGTCGCTCCTGTAAAATTGCATTACGCCATAAGCAAGAGTGCTACTAGTCCTGGTCTCACGCATCGACGTCTCGGGATGCAAATACCAGCGCTCTTAAAAAGAAGTATAATTCCGCCTCCAGGTCTTCCAAAAATGTCATTGTGAAAGCAAAGTCAGAGCACATTGGCAGAATTGGCGAGAAACTATTTCGTATTCCTTCGACAACACGTGCATTCTGATCTCTCGCCAAGGCTGTCTAAGGAAACGGCTGACAGAATCAGCCATCTCTTCCATCAGAGGATATAGCCGATCTGCTGGGCTCTCTCTTTGCGTCCAACTCGACTCTTGATGATGGGGGAAACACACTGCTGACCATCCCCCGGTTTGAGTGCTCCATGCAGAATATGCTGTTTACCCAACGCTCGGTGCGCAGAGCACTCCACTCCCTATACGTCAATAAGTCGAGTGGGGCTGATGACGTCCCTCCCTCAGGAGTTGGCACCGGTTTTAACGCGTCTTTTCCGGTACTCCCACTCTCTGGACGTAGTTACGAAATCATGGAAGACAGCTTTCGTGCACCCGATCCCTAAAAAATGTAACCGATCTGATCCGTCCAAATATTGGCCTATCGCCATCACCTCCTTGTTGTCTAAAATAATATGGTCCGTTATTAACAGTCAGCTCATCCGTTACCTTAAGGATCACCTGCTAATTAGTGACCATCGGTACGGTTTCCGTCGTGGTCGCTCGGCTGGTGATTTGAGGCAGTAGAATCCAAGGGGGAGGCGTTTGCCGTTAGTTTGGACATAGCGAAGGCCTTCGATCGTGTATGACATAAAGCACTTGTTACGAAGCTTTCCTCCTTGGGCTTCCCGAGAAATTGTGCAATTGGATCACCAGTTTTCTTGCAGATCGGAGCATCAAGGTTGTAGTAGACGGAGCATGCTCCGATTACAAGCCAACGCTATATCCTCTGCATATCAATGACATGTTGCAAACCGGTAACATTCATTGCTATGCGGACGACAGCACTGGTGATGTTTTATACACTAGCCGTGCCAATGTTTCTCGGGAAAACGTCATTGAGTACCGAGACAAACTTGTGTCTGAAGTCGAGACTTTTTTGAACAAAGTCTCGGACTGGAGGCGACTAAATAACTTTTTGATGGTTAGATTATATATTTAAGTAGACTATATAGTTTAAAAAAGTGTCTAGCAAACCGAAAAATAAACTGTTTATAAATTTTGTTATAATTTGAATTATTTTATAATGTAGATTTAAATTAAATAAATGCTTTCTGCGCCATCTCTTTTCTGTATTAATATTTATCATTAGGCCAAGTATCTTTAACATATTTTCATTCACAGTAAAACTAGTGACCTAAAATTAAAAATTGAATTAAAATGATATACATGCTTTACGTACATGCATCTTTAATAAATTAAGAAATGTTTTATTATTACAGTTGCTGTTCTTTAAATAACTTTAAGATAACTTTAAAGTACACTCCGAACCAAAAAGTTTTAATTAAAACTACTAAACAACATTCATGTATATCCTATTCCTATACATACCTTTGGACGTTTCTTTTCCGGGGGAATTAAAATCTGATGATTTATCTCTCGACGTACTTGGTTGTGGCTCCGTCATTAACCACTATTAATAAAAAACAATTATCAACAAAATAAAATAACAATAATTAAATAAACAACAATAACTAAGATGGTCTCCCGGATGTAGTCAAACCTGTCCCGACCCTGACATATTTTTGCCGGGAAAATGAGACATTATGACAAATACACAAATAGGGAAGGGGTAGATAATAGATTGTTGTGTTGTACAAAATGTTTAATTTTATCACTTGTGCTTGTTACAGATCGAGGATAGGTCTATTGTTACTGACATTTGTATTGGTGGAGACGCTCGCGCAGGCGAACAGGATAGAAGACACAAATATACAATCAGTGCCAAGTGATCTACGGCGAGTTGTTAGTGAAGCACTGGCCATAGAAAGGAGGTTCCTGTTGGGTGCTAACGATATGTGAGTAATTCAAATAATAATTTATAATTTTACCAATTTGAAAAAGCTCATTTGCAAGAAATATTATTTAAGACTATCGAAATATAATTTTACTTACTATGTCATAATTTGCATCATTTTCATATTTATATTATAAAAATTAATTAATTTAAAAAATTTTATACTTAATTTTTTTAATTTAAATTAGTCGACTTCAAGAAAGGAGAAGGTTCTCAATTCGACGGTATATTTTTTCTCTTCTTTGTATGTATGACAAGTAAAAACAATAATATCTCTATATATAATACAAACTTCATTCCCTTTTAGAATTTTTTCTGTAAACTCGAACCATCATATAAGTATAACCTGATTAATGACTAATAAAATAAAAACTTAAACAACATGCACTGATCATGAGCTGTGATTATCTTGATAAATATTTTAATTAATCCTGGTGATCCTGATCAGGATACTAGGATAAAGTTATTAAATTATTTTATTTTCATCGGTCCTTGATACGAGTGCAAATTTTCAAGTCAATCAGGCGTCTACAAGTTGGTGAAAATTTCATTAAAATATTCCGTTACATAGAATAAAAGCGTATTAATCATCAAAATCTATAAATAATTAACAAAAATATCACATAAAATACATACAAAAAATAACACAGCTGGTACTTAATAAAAGTGATCAAACTTCTTTAACGATGTGAAACAAATAAATGAAATTATTCACTATCATATGTTGTGTCATAAACCCTTATGTACGTTATAATTCGTTATAACGGTTATTGATTTTTGGTATTAAATTAAGGTGACAAGCGTACCTGCAGTCCACCTGGGATAATGCAGCCCAAGCATACTTGCCAACAACTTAAAACAAAACGGCTACAGATACGTTGTAGTGCCCAGCCCTACAATTGCGTTGCGACGACGAACCGTTGACAAAGACCGTTTTGTGATCTGCGACGATGAAAGCGTTTTACGTCCTGAATTCAAACAGTCTTCGTTACATAAACTGGTCTTCAAATTACTTGGTGCTATTTTTTATTTTACGCCCATGAAAATACAGTCGAGAAGTCAATAATTCAACCTTCTATCTCGCTCATCGCGTCGTCGTCTTTAACGACTAAACAATCCTTACAATAAAAAGTGAGCTTTATGTCAACGAAATGCAGTCGCTAATGTTAATCGCTAATGTTAATGGTAATGGTAAGTCTGTCCCGGCCAGTCCTAAGCCTGGAAAAGTATGAAAAGAAGTTCATTTCATCGTTGAGTAAAATCGATCGATAAAACAAATTATTTAGTAAACTCTTTCATACATTTGAAATCGTTGATGGTTTTAAGAAATTGCAACCATTTCACTCAATGAAGACGCAATTCTATTCCATGTTGGATAAGTTTCGTCCTCTAAGTCGTCTTCAAACCAGTTGCAACGATTCGTCCGTCAAAAATTCAACAACGACCCACCACTAATACGTTGTCACCTCCGAGAACAAAGACTAAATGCCTCACAGCCTGTAGTTATACTAGATCTCTATACTTAACAAAATAAGAAGTATGTAGCTAAGCAAATGGATTCCTCGGCAAAAAAAAGAATTCCATCACCCAGTGATTTTATGATAGTTACTGTTCTAGCACATGCTGCACGCATAAAATAATTTAACTGCAGTTTTCTTATAAAATAATCTATCTGTTATTTTTAATAAGTCACGATTCTGTTTAGTTTTAAAATAAAACAACAACTTCCTAGACAAAACGTATAATCAAGTCTTACTTGAAAGTTATCACAGAGACCGAATATCCGAAATCGGACAGAGGGACTTTGTTATCATAATAAAAATCCACAAAATGAAATGTCAAAAAAATTTTGTAGCTCCTGACAGAACTACAGACAAAAAAGATAACAACAATAACAAACAACGAGTGTTTCAACCACATAAATCGTAATAATAAGACAATAGAAGTGGCATAGACACGTGACCTTGTCACCGCTATGATGTATTGATGAACATCATTCACCATTTTGTGATTTAATTGCGCGAGGAACGTCGTACGTGAATTTATGTATATTATAATGGTAAATTGCGGCATAATCAGTAGTAAAAACTCATCAAGGACGTGTAATTCAACTAATAAAGGCATAACATTTCATCGGTAAGATGATTATTTACTAATTATCATTGTTTTAACTAAGTTACATCTAGATGAATACTTTACTAGGTATATTTACCTTTGTAAACTTTCATTTTTCTTATTACTTCTTATGCTTCATTACTTTTCGTATTATACAGTTACCATTGATGCTTTTGTTCTAACGTAATATACGACGAACGCGACGTAGATAAACTCGCCAAGCAATGTAAATTGAAACATTAGATATCATTGTGCATTGAGTATGTTTATAATACGGCTGCAGGCATCGGTCGCTTAATGCGTAAGTGTTAAAATGTGGTAACATCTGAATGATTGATGAATTTCTATTGTCTTATTATTACTATTTTTGTGGTTTCAACAATGCCAGGTCCAATAGTACCCAAGTGTAGCGGTGTCAGATTTGTAAATTTATAAAATAAAAATTGTAGGTCCTATATCTAGGGAGGTGGTTACTAAAAAAACTAGTAGAGAGTTTAACGACGTTAAGAATTAATTAGCTAAGATCCACATAGAAAATAAAAATAATGTGTCTTAGCTCTCGCTCTCCCACTTGCATGAACTATGACCGTCACCACTAGTCCCAACACACTAAACTAGGAAAGATAATACGACAAGCGTGACGCCTCTTAATGCGGGATGATCAGGCAACATGTGTTGTATTATCGACGATGCTGTGCCTTTCCTAGCCATTCCTATCCTATACCTTTAAACGAGCAATTCTTGTATATATATAATCGGAATCTCGGAAACGGCTCCAACGATTTTCATGAAATATTGTGTCCAGCGAGTTTTGGGGGAAATAAATCGATCTAGCTAGGATTTATTTTTAGAAAATGTCTTTTTGTCCGTGTTTTCAGGCAATGAAAAACTGCTACAATATAAGAAGGTAAATTTTGACATTGTGTTAATGATCGTAATAGCTCAAGTGGATAGCGAGCGGTCGCGAAATCGTAATGACTTGGTTCGCGTCCCGTCTTCGGTCCGAGTTTTTTTTAAGTTCCCTTCTTTTGTGAGAAAATCTATTGTTTGGAGCCCTTTTTTAGTATTTTTTAAAAATACGAAAATTTTAATTAAACTAATTGCATATTTTTTTAATTAAAACCGAGCAAAGCTCGGTCATCCAGGTACTGCATATTCAAATAAAGAAGGCAATAGATTCCTTGTCACTCCTGAGGTTAATATGCACTGGTTCTCCTTACTCTCTCATTAATACAACAGTGGGTGCACTGTTACAGAAATTAATAATACGATTAGATTAAGTCTAGAGCCATTGACTATCTTTTCAATTGTTCTAGTCTTATTCTACTTCTTCACAGTTTGAAATCCACAATAGACTATCTAGAAATAATTATGGCTTCAATAGATTAAAATTTTTCTTCGCAAATTAAATCGACTGAAAACCCCGTCATCCAACGTTTTCGTTGCTCCCAAAGATTTCACTTTTCTAGAGGAAGATTGCCAAATCCAATGAGAGTCGTCCAACGTCTCACAACACATTGAAATATATAATTAATTGATTTCCATTTCTAGCAGAAACATCAATAAACTAATAATTCGCCAAATAAATAATGGCCAAATAACTCAATTAATTATTATACTTTGTTTTTCTTAAAACAATTGTTTGAATTTTTCTATATAAAACGGTAACTTAAGTACAAGTAAGGACATTAAGTCTTCCTGACTTTGAGTATGAAACCAGGTTGGTTGAATACTCAAAGCTTCCTGACGAACAGCGAATATATTTCCGAAAAATGACATGGTCAAAGTCGTAGAAATGAACGAAGCAGCTCGTTATATTAGTGTTTTGTAGTCAAACCTGCTTGAATTTGGTTGATCAAATACAGCCTATAAAAGTGTACTGTGGAAAATAAGCCTCCCCCATGAATTGTTTCAATTTTGCCATAGTTGCCACGCTTGGCAGGCTGGTTTGCAAAGGAAGTTTTTATAATTTTGAGTTGACAATCGGAAGATGCTGCTGCTCATTTCCTGTATCAGTTTCCCTCTGTCGACTCTTACGACACCCACGGGATGATATGGGGTAGAGGATATTCTTATACATGGTTAAATATAAAAACCTATTTTAAATAAAATTACTAAATTATCTCATAAAGACAAATTCGTGATCACGCTATTTATATATTATGACACAAAACTAGTTACCTTACGTGTGGATTTTCTTTAGGTCATTAGATCTTGGTTACAAAATATTATCTACTACCGCAAAACATTTAAGAAATTTATTTGGGTACGCATTTTGTATTAGACTTCGTATTAAAATAAAATAACGCTAATGCGATAGACAACGTGAATATAAATGTGCATTCGTACCTTAGTGTATACCAGATATAGAAAAATTCGTTATTAATTAAATTGTAGAAAAGGAAATTTAAATTTGGAAATGTATTGTTATTATTATTATAAAATATACATAACAAAATGAATACATTTAAGTGACAGTATAGTGACGGTGTAAGAATATCCTCCACCCCAAATCCTCCCAGGGGTGCCGTTAGAGCGACCGAGGGAAACAAATCAGATGATGGACGGCAGCGTCTTCCTAATAACAAATAAAAAAACTGTGGCTGCCAACCAACCTGCCAAGCATGCCAACTGTGACAAATATCCGATCCCCTATTAGGCAACTTTGGGGGAAGCCTACATACAGCAGTGGACTTTCAATAGGATGTAACTTCTTCTTGGTTTTCATTCTCCTCTATTATCCGAGTTCAAAAAGAAGGATATATATATATATATATATATATATATATATATATATATATATATTCATCACTTTTTTAATGTATGTTCACAGATTTCTTTGTAACGGCTTACACGATTTAAATTATTTTAATTAATAGTTTTTACTTCAAACGCAAAAGGAAAAGTCTGGCTTTAATGGTTTTAACTTAGATTATTGATAGGGCTTTAAAAACTAGAAATAATAAAATATTTTCCATTTAATTGCTTCTAAAGCGCTTTAATTATATTATGTCTTAAAACCGATTAAAAGTTTAATTTATATAGTAATAAGGATATTTAAATTATAAACAATAAACAAGTGAAAAAATTAAAAACAGACCTTTTGTTACACGAACTGTTATTTGAAATTTTATTACCGAAAACAGTAGTATTAAAACTTTAGAAAATATTAATATCATTGGCAATTTACCAAGTGAAACCCTATTTTAAGGGTATACTACGTAAATACGTACTAGCTGTTACCCGTGACATCGATCACGCAGAACACAAACAGAAGAACAACTTGCAGATGTAATTAGTCTAAGAAGTATCGGCGCATGAGTACCGAAAATTATTTTTCACCTCAATTTTTTTATGCGATTCTCTTTAAATTGTCCTACTGACAACGCGTTGCCATGGACCAACTCGGTGCCATATTGTTTTAACCGATTTTTTTATTGCGAGAAATTGTTATTTTAAAACGGTGACACTTTTTTATATTTTTGATGAAATACGAATAAAAAACATCCTATGACTTTTAAGGGGTTTGAAAAATCCCAAATTCGGATATTTTGACCCATTAAAATACATGAACCTCATATTCCTTAAACCGGTACTCATGCGCCGCTTCCTCCTGGACTAAATAGTGATAGTGATCTTTGAGCTAGTAGGCCAATTATGGAAAAACACTTAAAACTCAAGTCTTCACTATTATCAGAAAAATATGTATGACATGGAAAAGCTATTTATAATAAGTTTTAGATCCATTAAGTACACGTATTTTCACTTAATTTTTAACACTTATACTTTTATTGTAATCATGTAGATTTTGCATCTAAACTTTAAGAGATGGAAGATAAAGATTGAGAACATTTCTTGTGTAAAATTACAAATCAAAACAGTCTTGTTCTAAACTTTTTATATCTGTTATAGTTTTGGATATAATCAGCGAAAACCATTGATTTCATCAGTTTTTAATTTTGGCAAAAAAAGTCGACATGTTTTGAGATGAAATACGGCCTACATCATTATTGCCTTTGATCTTTATCTGTTCGTGAATTTGTTTTTAAATGTTATGTTGTTTAGTATTCAAATAAATTCCTGAACCTAAAAGAAACCAGTTTTTTTTTTCGATATTAGAGGCAGGCACTCAATTTTATTTATATTTAGAAGAAATACTAGTATATAATATGTTGGTTTAATATTATAATATAAGCCGGCTTCACCCGGGCACGCACTCGCACACTACAAAGCGTGGTGAACAATAGTAACATAATCCAAATTTTCTTTCCTAGCGTAGTGGTTTTGGGAGTACCGATGTCATGTGACGGTCATAATACATTCGAATAAGGGAGGGCCGGAGCTAAGCCATCACTTTTTTTAACTTCGTAAAACTTTTAGTTCTTAGTCCTTACTTTTCTTGATATAGGATCACTGCTCTTCATATTGCTTGGGTACTGTTAGACATGATATTGTTGAAACGGTGGTTGGTGTTGTTATTGTATGTAGTTATGTTAGGAGCTACTAAATGTTACTGTCATTATTTTTGTAATCTTTTATAATGATAACAATTCGTTTCTGTCCGATGTCGGCTATTCGGTCTCGATGACCACTTCTGAGTAAGACTTGTTTATATACGTTGTACCTTGAAAGTTGGTACTCTATTTTCGAAACTAAACGGAAGCGTGATGCGCAATAGTAGCATAATGCTGTGTTATGTGCTCTGTTTCGTATAGTAAGTGACGAGAACTGAAGACCGTTTTCACTCGTAACGAGGCATTGTATCTTAGTTCTCAGGGGGTGACAACGTATCAGTATTTTGAATCTTATTCGAGGATAAATGGAGATGTCCATGGTTAATAGCATCCAATTACGAAAAGAGGAAGGGTGTGCTCGTATTTTCCCTTCCATTTAATATATAATTTCTTAAAAATTACGTATAGATAAAACAATTATTTAAAGAAAAAGATATAGTTATACAAAATTATAGAACTAATTCCAGCCGATTCCGCTACCGCACATCGCGACAAAACTCGCGATACCATCCATACTATCTGGATAACTAGCGGTCCACCACTGAGCGATTTAAAAGAAGTTTTCTTCCTCGCACAACTTCCTTATGCAATCGACTACCACCAGAGGTTTTTTCCGGATCGGTACGAATCACTTACCATCAGATGAGCCGTAAGCTCGTTTGCCCCATCTTCTATAAAAAAAAATTATAAATGTAGTTAAGATTTAAAGACGTGATGAATCCCAGCCGTATCAATATTAATAGGATCTATAATAACGCGCAATTGTGTGTTTCATGCAGACAAAATTGTTCGTCTGAGGATAACGAAATAAGCACGACTCCCTGCCCGCCCAGCAAGTACCGCAGTGCAAGTGGTGAATGCAACAACGTGCGCCACAGACCGTGGGGGCGCAGAGGCGACGTGTTCCTCAGATTGCTGCGTCCACACTACGCTGATGGTAAGTAACTTATTAATGTTTCGAGATAAATTTTTGTCGATATTTTTGAAATTATTTTCAAACAACTAGAGAACCGGAGACCCTTTTTACTGGAAACGAGGCATTCCATCTTAGTCCTCACGGGTGACAACGCATCTGCATTTTGATTCGTAATCTAGGATAGACGTAGATGTCTATGGGCCACAGCAACCACTTACCATCAGGTGGACTGTGTGCTCGTTTGTCATCCTATCCTACAACAAAAAAATCACTACAAGACATAACTGTATTCTCTTCTCTTCTCTCTTCTTATAGACTCTTCGTATTTTGATGTAATATGAGTGTGTGCCGTGCTATTGCGGGTTAGGTGAATGCATCACCCTATTTTTTCCTGTGTGTGTTTGTCGTACTAGGTGATTATAGGATACGCTAAAAAGATGTTTTGACCTCCATTATTCGGCGGCATGACCATTTTGTCATTGTTAGAGATAAAAATCCAGACCGGAGACAAATAGTATCGTCATAGTTACAAGACGGTTGGCACTGCGATCGCCAATTCGCCCGCCAAGCGTGCCATCTATCGTATATCTTTCCTACAAAGGAAGACTCCACAGATGACTCTATATGTAGGTACTAGTCAGAGAGGAAAGACAAATGTCATTTTAAGCCATATTTTAGCTATATATTAGAAAGTGAAGCATGTATTACAGCCGGGCAGATGTATTATCTCATAAGGTGCAGGGAAGAGTCCACCGCTCCGCTCTGCACCAATACTTATAGACGGACTTTACAAGTCTTCATTATATTTTCATCATTCAGATAACCTTAAGATGATTTTATTCGACACCGAACATGTGGTAAATCAGCATTTTAAATGGCACTTAATAAATTCATTGATGTCGGCGGTAATCGAACTCGATTTTAAAAGACATACACGGACACAGTTCTTTCGCAAGAAGTGACATTTTGTTTAATGATTTTAAAAAATCAATTGTTTTTTTATATTTGACACGATTATTCAGCAAATCTATTACCAAAACTCAAAAAATTAAATATAATTATATCAAGTTATATAATATTTCGAATTCATGTGAAGTCTGCTAACACGCATTGGACAGCGCGGCGGATATTTCGTTGCTCTAAAACCCTTTCAGAAATGAGCGGAGGCCCGTGCCCAGCTGTGGGACTTATATAGGCTGTAACTTTATTTTATTTATTTCAAGTTAAAAACCCATATACATAAGTTCTATACAACATAAGACGATTGGTTTTATATAATACTAGTGTGTAGAAGTAGGTATTTAGTACATAAAGCCCAATAATAACTTATTGAACAGAGAACTTTTTTATAGAATAGGCAATTTTTGTTACTCATCGTGCAAACCTACTGAGTCATGTGTTAAAGAAAAACTCCATTAACAAGTTTTATCGCGCACTTAAATCTATTATGTTAATAGTGACTTCCGTTTACACATGGTTTTTCTGGACGCATCAATGGATTTACCATCAATCGGCAATTATCTAAGCAGCTAAATTTACTTTTTTCGCAAATTGTCTCTACAATATTTAGGTAGGATACTGCTTGCGGAGGATGGTCTGCCCGGGTTAGCTATGTGTTAACATAGCGAACCCGGGCAGGCCATCCAAAAAGATATCGGAGCTCCGAAAATATATCGTAGAACACGCTTCAGTTATACTGTGTAATTTTAACTTTAACAAAATGACAAAATGCGAAATATTTTTCGCGATTCCTTCTCCGGTCCGAGAATCCATGTTTCAAAATGGTAGAAGATTTGAAAAAAACATTTGAGAATAACGTGATGGTTCCGTGGCACCGTGTTTATCCTTGGGAAATTTATGTATGTAAACTTCCTCCAAGGTAAATGAGAAAATGTTAGTGTAAATATGGTAACGTTTTTTAGAAAAATAATATAATTTTTTAATGTCGAAGAAATAAATATATTTAATTTTATTTCATAAGGTGTGAAAATACATAATAAATTAATTCATAATGATATTTTTTTTAATAAAATCATTTTTCCTCTTTTAATGGTATATTATACTTTATATATTTTCTTATTATTATTATTAGTTGATAATTTCTCATATAGTCTTCCAAATTCATTATTTTACCATAATCGCCAGGATTGATAGGCGAATTGGAAATAAGAGTTCCAATCGCTTGGTACATTTTGACGGTACTCCTCGTATATACAAGGAGCCAGAATAAACGAGGAGCAATCTACCGGAGCCCATGAGCTCGTTCTGACTTTACCCTCAGTCGCTACTTACGGTAACTACATGCGACAGGATGATAGGGCGTATACTCCCGGCCGGTTTCACTCACAACGATAAGTTGTCAAAGTCTAAGATGCAATATGAGCGCCATTAATTAATTAAGTAATTTGAGCAGTCACATTTGGCACTTAATTATTAATACAAGCAGTAATAAACTTTTTTGACAAAAAACTAATCGGGGGTAGTAAAATTTTCTGGGAATACTAATGACTTTGGTAATTTACTTAACCACACAATAGATACTAGTAGTACGGTGGTTGAAATAAATTTCCTGTTCAAAAATCATGAGTTATAAAATAAATGATTAGACAGTTCAATAAATAGTTCCCAACGTAACTTAAAACCTAAACTTAATTTGATTGAAAATCCACCATACAAAGCCCCCGATACCAGTTAAGTTAATAAAATACGCGTATGTTTTACTAGCTACTAAATTTATCGGACAGATGCTAATTTTGAAATATTATTTTACCGTTTCCCTTTCTTTTCGTGCTTATATTTAACTGCTCAATCCGTTATACGTTAACATTCAATTTGAGTAATTATAATAACCTATAAATAAAAAATAAAAGGCATTTAAAAGGCAACATAAACTTAGTTAAAGTTACCTATGTTCGTCCCACAGCCAGGCACAGGTCTCTTCTGATTTCTGTCCTAAGTCATCAAGTGTGTGTAGTGTCATAAGTGTCCACCGCGCTGCCCCAATCCGTGTGGGTGAGCTTCATATGTCATCGAAATGTTTTTTTTTTTCTTATTTCTCAGACATGCAGGTTTCCTCACGATGTTTTCCATCACCGCCGAGCACGTAGTAAATCAGCACTTAAAATTGCAATTAACAATTCATTGAGGACGGCGAGGATCAAACCCGGGTTTCTTGCGCAATGTGAAATTTACAGCGAGCGCTAACCGTCTGAGAAACAAAACAACATAACCACACCCGAAATCCAACAATTTATGTTTTCATACCAATATTGGCTACTTATCACGCTTATATTTAGTTGCAAGTATCAAGTCTTTTACGGTTTTACAACAGACAGACGCTAGCTCAGTCGTAGTATTTGGATCGATTCGCTTCCACTATTACCTTCAGTTCATCATTATCAACGATTTTCTCCAGACAGTCACAAAGTTTTTGTTTCATATGTGAGGTCGGAATTCACCAAATTTAAGTAATTTAACCAATAACAAACATTCTTTTCTGCAGTAGCAGAAAAAACAAAACACATAAATACAATTTAATAACTGTATTTAAATTTATATAACCGAGTAATAAGCCTTAAATATAAAATTTATTTGAATTTAGAATTTCAAGTCAAACCATACAGTTCGAAATGGCCAGTTCAACAAAACGGCGATTTCATCAATAGTCAATCACTAAGAGTGAGAGTATAAAGTGTTGGTCGGAAGAATTAAATATACAGAAATAAATATTTTAGAAAAGATATAGAGATTTTGTACGTAATTTGTGAGTTGCTACTGGTGCATTTGGTACCGGCCTGCCTGTCAAGCGTGACAATTATGGCAAATATCTCCATATTAAGCAATTTAACGACGACATCAATGTTAATCAGTAGGCTTTTGATAGGCTGTAAAGATAACGTACGGTATCCCGACGCATGACGCAAAACAATAGACGACCACATCGTCTAATGACTTATCTGGCGTAGCTCCTACGTTTGAATACACGCCGTTGTTGGTAACACTTGTGCAAAAACACAAATTGTTTGGTTTTAACATTGTAATATTCAAATACAATACACATATACAAGAAAATTTTACGACAACATTATTAAATTATTGACTGGGTTCCAAACGACATAAATACAAAATTAAGTGCATAATTATTCAATATTTTTAACCGAGTTTAAAAAAAACAGGTTATATAATATACATATTTGACGCGTATGTTTTTATGTATTTTCTTCGATCTCAGAAACGGCTGAACCAGTTTATATAATTAATTTTATTAAATATAATCTTTTTATTAAATTGGTTTGTATACAATGGTCAATCTTTTTAGGGATAGTCTTATATAAATTAAAATAAAAATCCATCTCTAATGGATACCACACACGGTCAGTTGGAATGATCAGTTTAACCGACCGTGTCCATAAGAGTGGAAAAAAATTAAATTTGAATCTGTGACTTATTTAATGTTCCACTAAATATTTTAATACAGGACAAAGTAACATAAAAATGTCTCTATCTTATTACAGTTCAAGCAAATTCTCCATATTTTTATTATAGCAATATTACAATTCAGAGAAATGAGAAGAGGTCTGACACAGGAGTAGGACGTATATAGACTATAACTTAAATTTTAATATTATAACAAAATTTAAATTTTATAAAACTATTATATTTTAAAACTATTATTATAACAATGCTACTTCAGCATACTAATCCGTTGGTCTATGTCGCTTACTCTGGTTCTACTGCGGATATTCTCATTTTTAAGTCTATCACACAAAATCCCCGAGCATAGCGCCCTCCTCCATAACTCGCTGAGCGACTTTAAGCTACTTTATACGGCTAGCAGTGAAGAACCACGTCTTAGATCCATAAGTCATCACTGGCAACACGCACTGGATGTACAATGTTGTTTTGAAGTTCCGAGGTATTCCTCACTTAATCTGCTCGTATTATTAAGAAGGCAATTAAATTTAAATTCACGTGATGTGTGTGACCCACTCACTTATATAGTTTTTTTTTACAGATTATGTCACTTTTAATTTACTTCCGACGCTTAGACTACTTTGACGCGCTCAAGGTTAACGCGGGCATTAGGTGTTCAAAGCTCGGAAACTGAAGTTAACTAAAACTATTACTTTCAGTCCGATATACGCAGATCAGAGTTGTGAGCTTAACAGTAACTTCAAGTTTTGCAGTGTAATACTTAGATTTAGATTTAATTTTATTAATTATAGGATACCAAAGCGGTGATAATACGCAGCCACCTTTTTTTCTAAAATTACGTAGTGTTTTTAATATAAATAGCCTTACGTATCATTCTTGGCGGGAGTTGGTGTTATGTAATAGCCAGGACGATCCATAACATGTTCGCAAACTACAGATTTCAAAGAGCGTTTTCCTTGATTTTTTGTTAATTTTATGTTCCTAAATACACAATCCAGCTTCCAGCATCTTGTAGAGGTATCACACTTAACATATTATGGTAGAAATTGACTTATCTGCCTTAGCGGCTTGTAGAGTATTCTAATAGCCCATCTTATATGTGGCTCCTCTGACATATAATAATACAGCAGACGGGGTCACTATGATTTTAGTGCAGTCCACGCTGCGGCCAACGCTTGTTGTCGTGCTATACCCTCTTGACGTATTGGAGCTCGGGTGCTGCTGGAGCCGCGATTACAGTCACAGAAAAAAAAATTTTCCCAGGGTAGCTAACTGTAACTAGTGGAAATTTCGTATTCAATGGGTGCGTTTGGCAGAAAAAAGCGCTAGCAAGCGCTTGTAAGCAAAATGGCGATCGTAAGCGGTAAGCGCTGTCAAATCGTAAGTAGCTATTTTCCTCTAGTACACGATGTTAGTTTTAACCGGGGAACCTAACCTAATTTAAATATATGTTTGTGAAGTATTGATATTAAAAACTTACCGATCATGAATTTCTAATAACATGTATATGTCTATTCATGTCATTATATTACTTAAAACTAATATTGCAGAAAACAACTTATAAACTCTACTTCAAAACAAACAAATTAAATAAGCAAAATGGCGGATTGTGTCAGCGCTACTGAAGTAGCAATCGTGTCCTGGCCGAAAACTATTTTAGCGCTAGTAAGCGCTTGCTAGCGCTTTTTTCTGCCAAACGCACCCAATGTGTCACATACGATATTTTTAAATTTCGTAATAAAACCTTATTTTTATAGGAATATCCCAGCCGCTGTCACCGCCACAGATGCCAGAACCGGCACTGGCCGTGCAAGCCGCGGCTCAACTCACAGAACCCTCTGAACACGATTACGTCACCAGCTTATTAGCGGCATGGGGACAGTTTCTTATGAACGACTTAATAACTACAGCCAATGGAAATAAGGTAATCAAAATATAATCTGGATTCAGCTTACATATACTCATATAATATAAAGAAAAGTTATCAACCTTTGAAGTTTATTGCCGGAAATAAGGTAATCAAAATATAACCTGAACCCAGCTTACAACTCATATAATATAAAGAAAAGTCATCAACCTTTGAAATTTATTTCTGGAAATAAGGTAATCAAAATATAATCTGGACCCAGCTTACACATACTCATATAATATAAAGAAAAGTTATCTTTAAAGTTTATTTCTGGAAATAAGGTAATCAAAATATAATCTAGACCCAGCTTACACATACTCATATAATATAAAGATAAGTTATCAACCTTTAAAGTTTATTTCTGGAAATAAGTTAATCAAAATATAATCTGGACCCAGCTTACATATACTCTTATAACATTAAGAAACGTTATCAACCTTTGAAGTTTATTTCTGGAAATAAGGTAATCAAAATATAATCTGGACCCAGCTTACATATACTCATATATGAAGAAGAGTTATCAACCTTTTGAGGTTTCTTGCTGGACTTGACGTTTTCAAAACTGCGCTATCACGCAGGAATCGTTTTTCTGTAATTTTTGAACCCTTATCACGTACTTTTCATACACAGCATGCTGGAGTGACAGGTTGGTAAGCTTAGAACCTACACGAAATAGTTGTTCTGCCATTTGTCAGACAGAAAAGAACGTCGTCGAAAACGTCGACACGGAGACCGCATGGATGGTACCAAGTGTTTTATTTTTATAAGAGGGAGCAAAAGAGCATATTCCTCATTTGATGGTGAATGCGCTCTTACCTATTTCTGCCAGCATATAGTAGTGCGTGCACTACTGTGTTCCAGTCTAAAGGATATGGAGAGCCAGTATATTTTCAGGATGTTAAACATTACACCAGATGTCCATAGATTACAGGAGCCACTTACCTCCAGGTGGACTGTAAACCCGTTTGCCCATTTGTCGCTTTAATTTCATGTAAGCAAAGTTAAAACAATTTTCTAATTACGAACAGAGTCTATTAAACTGCAACTGAATTGATAAAACATGATGATGGAGATGGATTCTTATGCGTCTTTTCGACACAACTTGCTATAAATAGTTTAAAAAATAAATAAAGCTTTCTCTTAAACGTATAATTTACTAAACAATGCTAGTAGTATATCGATACTTAGTAGAAAGAGAGTAAAATGATTCTATAACAAACGTTTTAACGTAATAAATATGAAAACAACATGATACAACACAGTTTAAAATAAAATAAAAATTTTAAACTAAAATATCCCATTCCTATATTATAATGTACTTAATAAAAACTCACCATCATATCTCTTGAATAATGATTTATCTTTTTTAGATTCATTACATTTTCTAAAGTAACCTAACACATCGATTATATCACCCAAAGGTTGACTGGTAAGGAATGTCGCAGGCATTAAGTCCGGCTATATTTCATATATTATGTTGTATGAAATTAAATAAAAATGTATAACTAAGCACATTTATGCGACTCGTTTCTTTCCTATCAAATTTATATTATAGTGATTTTATTACCAAATTTAAAAAAAAAACAAGAGCAATAATTTCAAGTTGTTTTTAGAAAATCAACCTCTGTATTTGCATCTAGCAAACGATTTGACCTTTTTCCAACGTAAATTTACATCGTACTGTTACTTACGCACGTTACTTCACAATTGCGTTATTAATTTTACCATGATTTGTACTAGTTCGTCTTCTTTTATCTAGGTGTCTAACACACAATTATCGTAACTTTTAATGTCAAAAATAATTTCCTTCTCTGTCCTTATATAACCCGTATATAAATAAATCAGTAAGCGACCTAATCAGTTTAACTACGAGACGGAAATATTTATTTCCGCCTCTTTCTAGCGTTTTAACGGGCGAGCTGAACTGTAATAAAAATAATTACTCGTAGTTAAAAGGTACAAAAATATGTTTAATAATATAATTCGCTATTTTTACTTATAATAAACAATATCATCTGATACATCTGGGTAAGTGATGATGTAGATTTAAGGACACGAAGTCATATCGTTTTTCAACCGCGAACTGCAGCTTTTCTCATCTGTATTTAATGCATTTCCGTAAACCTGATCTATTAAATATTTACAGCACAGTCAATCAAAATAATTTACTCAAAAATAGTCCATACAAAGTCCGGAGGTGAACAACTCGACTTTGTTGTTTTTTTTTTTGTATGTACATATATATCATTGTCAATAGTAAACCGATTTTAATGTTTTTTATTTTATTAAATAGTTTATACGTCCCGCTGGTGGGCACAGGCCTCCCCTCATTTCTGTGAGGGTTTTAGGGCAAGGTATTGCCCGCCGCGATGCCCAATACGTGTTGGCGAACTTCAAATATCTTCGAAATATTATTTGTTCTTATTTTTCAGACATACAGGTTCCCTCACGATGTGTTCAAAGATAATTTCAAATTCAAAAAAGCATTATGAACTAATGAGTTTTTGCCTGAAGAAACGGCAATGACTTCTATTTATTTCCGAATAATTACCTTTAACCTTTGTAAAATATAATATACACGTAAGTGCACGTAAATCAAAAAAGTCTAAGGAAGCTTATTACGTCCATGCATTCTTTCTGTTAAATAATTACTTGACGCCTTTATTTCACCTTGACTTTTTGCAAAGGCAATTTATTAATACCTAATAGAAGTGACCTTCTTATAAATAGTTATACGTCTACTGAAAAATGTGTCAGTTATTTTATGAAGTCTATACTTTGGTAAAAAAAAACAATAAATACAAGAAATAGTCGAACATTTCAACTCTCTTAAAATATTGATCAAGATATCAAAAAGTACAGTAATATTCGTAATTAATAGAATCAGAAGGTGCTTTACGTAAATTATTTATATTCAAGATGTGAAAACTAGTGGTTAAATTAAAAAATTTATACAATCGACTTCAACATAAGTCAATTAAATACGCATTATTAAGGATAACTCAAAATGTCAAATCTTGATCATTTTTATATGGAACTGTATGAGAAGCACCAGCTTTCAAATTAAAAAAATCATCGAAATCGGGTCACCTAGAAAAAGTTCTGAGGTAACACAAATAAAAAAAATTGAAAAATGGTTGAACCTGCAGGTCATCCCTGAAACTTCCCGCTACGTTCGATCTGAAAACGCTCGACAAATACTTTTACGAACTAATAAAAATTCAAATTTCAAATCGGTTAAGCCGTTCAAAAGTTATGAGAGTTTACATACACACATACACTCACATACATACATACATAAATAGTGACATTCTCGTAGGAATAGTCACAATAGCTTCCTAGGACCTCAAAACGTCAAAATCTGATGAAATCTCGACTTTCGTAAACTGTCGAGAAACCAATAACTTCCCGATTTTCTGAAAATTATTGATTTTCATAGCGGTAAGTTAAAATACAGTCGAATTGCGAACCTCCCCCTTTTTTTTAATCAGCTGATGAATTAGCAAAGTCTTGCCTAGTTTAAAGAGCAGAGATTTTGTTACGGAGGGCGGGAGATGCTCTTCAAACTAAGTAAGACACATCATTTAATTTTATTACACAGATCTTAGGTAATTAATTTTGAACATCTTTAATTAAGTAACGAATGACTTTATTTAAGTCGTTCAATAGTAACCATTTTAGGTTTTTAACATTTATCGTGACGTATGACTTCCATTGTCATCATGTTTCCATTTTGTCCTAAGAAGTACGAGTAATCAATTATCCGCCGTGGTCTGTTGTTAGGCGTGTTTCACACATCGTAGCTAGCGGTGTTAAGGTCGTCGGACGCTAGCTTTTTGAGACGAACGGATGTGTCGCAACAACCACGTATCATCGTAATCATACGACTAATGATGCGAGCCTTCCACTTATCTTTTTTTAATACTTCTACTAACTTGAACTTGGCCGAGACCCGATTAATATATAAATTATCAATGATCATTTTTATTCGACAGCGACCTTCATGCATATATAGATTTTGCCTTAAGGCTCACGATGCTGTTCCTATTGTAAGATGAAACATTATCGTTTATTTGAAATTAAATATTTTTTAAATTACTTCTTCATCAAAGTTGATGATATATATATATATATATATATATATATATATATATATATATATATTTTACTGTCCATCAAATAACAAAAATATCAATGTACACATATAACATGATAGAGCCATGCAGCAGCAATATAATGTTTGTAGAACGAGTGGGTCGGCTAGATCGGAGAAGGACCACGGTTTTACGGAATACCAGCGTGAAATAGCTTAATACGTGGTTTTTATGGTGAATGTAGAGAACCGGAGACTCTTTTTATTGGAACGAGGCATTCAATATTAATCTTCAGATACCTATCAGTTGGGCTGTGTCCCCGTTTACCGTACCCTTATTGTCGTATATCGTACCATCATTCTATAAAAAAAGAAAACTAGCCAACACTGGCATGAAGTAGCGGCGTAAAAAAAACTATCATCCCATTCTTTCCAGTGTGTGTCGTATATAATACGATGATGTGAAATGCTAGAAAGCGTTTCCGAATTTCCCATGGCCGGTGATATAATCATCTCGTTTTAGGCTATATATAAAATGGTTAATGTCAAAGGCGCTGGACTTCTTGTGCTGGAATCGGTAATCCGTTTTTCAAGCGTAGTAATAAATGGTTCCTACAACGGTAGAGGACAATTTTCAGCAGTGAAATATAACGAGATACTGATGGAGATTATCGCTTTTCATAAAACAAATCACTGGCGATTTATTGAAAACGGGCCAAATTAGGAGTACCCTTAACCGACGAGCATGTATGCGTAGGTATATGGATGTGAAGGAGGCGAGAGAGGTGTGTCAGGATCATGCCAAATGGAAATTTGTAGTCTCTGCCTAACAATTGATGCACCGCAATGGCGGCTGCGTAACTATGTGTGAGCAACTACGCGAGCGCGGTTTCGAGCGTAATGGCGGGCGGTAGACTTACTATGGCGTGCATGTGTGCGTGCCGGCTTGTATGTATTAGCGAATTGACTTACTATGGGTACGTAAGTAATTGTTTTAAGAGACGGCGTCCGCCCTTTTTTCTAGGTTCATGACTAGAAATATACACATACATACGAATTTATTTTTAAACTTATGAAATATTAATATAAAAAAAGTTTGTCATCGGGTCAATCTCAATGTACTCGACATTATAAGTACCCTCGATTCATTTATCCTATTTGAATGTTTTTGTAAGTACCTAAATTTGAAGTAAATATGAGATGTCCATTACTGTCACTAGTGATAGTTCGCGGGATGATTCAAAGAAAGGTATCTAACGGTAACATGTTCGCGAAGAGGCAGTGAAAGCTGTTACATAACAGGCAGCTCTTCCTCTTAAGCTAAGCGTAAGTATTAGTACCATACATTATAACATCTCCTGCTCAGTTGTATTTTGAAATAGAACAAAACAGTACAATTGCAGTGATCAAAAACGGCCAAGTGGACGATTACCATCACAATAACGTCATATAAAAACATTAATTATAAAAATTATAATGAAATGAAAATATTTAAAGAAGACGACACCAGAAATAACGCAATATTAACTCACGGATTACGAATACAAGTTACGTATACGGTTCGCTCAGTGAAAGTTATTTGTATGACATTTCATAGCCATTGTTAGTTAGTTACTTAAGAGATAATTCGAACTGATGGGGATTTCCTGTCCAAGTTAAAGCCGCATTTATAATATGTATGACGTCGGGACTTCTTAAGCTTTACGTAACAGATTACATGGTCAATGACCTTAAAAGCTCAAATATTTAAAAAAGTGTATATAACATTTTAATATTATATGATTCGTAGTGCCCATCAAAATCCCATTACTAAAGGTAGGACCTTATTATTTTGACCTCATGGTGTCGGTTAAATTATTTTCTTACTAATATATTATTAGCTTAATAGCCTGTATAAATCGACTGCACGACATAAATTTCACTCATAAGTAATAATTACCTTGCTAGGCAAGCAGATTGACAATCTCGGTACCGGACACCTCGAACCTTAGACGCTGATACCCGCTATGGGTCTGCTTAATTTTGAGATAGCTAACCCGCCATCTGTCTGATGCCTTGATAATTTCAAGTTTCTCTCTTTATATACAAACCAGAGTACGTAACCTATCCAATTGTAGAGATATGTAAGACAGGGTGACGTAATACCCCCGAAACTCTTCACCACTTCATTGAAAGACGTTTTCAAGCTATAGTCGCTGGAGGATCCAAGCACTATGCTCAATGACCTCAATAGTGTCTCCCAACGAATAGGTCTTAAAATTAACATGGGCAAAACGAAAGTCACGTCTAACGTACATGTCACATCAATGCCGTTCTATTACGACGGAAAGTATGACTGTGTCACTCCGATACTACAAGATTAATATTACCTATACATTACATATACAATGTATATATATATATATTGGAGTTAAAGAACTCCGTAGTCATTCCGTATAAAGGCCAGGAAGGGTTTCATGAAATACAATTACAGCATTTGCTAAAAAAAAAAGTCATCTCTTACGTATCGCTATATAATTATTAGTATCTTAAAAATTATCAGATAAGAAATTTCAAGAGAAATACAGAGCAAAGCATTAAAAAAACGCCTGATGCTCTAATCGCTTATTCAGCAGTGTTTATTAACTAGCAGATTACAGCTGTGATGTTTTTATACGTGGTAGAGACACGCGGTAGCTATATTATAGTTGTAGCACGAATGGGTCGGCTCGACCGGGGAAGGACCACGCTTTCATAGAATACCACTATAATAAAAAAATTGTTTAGGCTCTTTATATATTCTATGAAACACTATTAAAAAATTAGTCGTCATCAGCGTCATCATCATCTTCTTTTCTTTTTCCTCTCATCAGCCCATTGACGGTCCACCGCTGAACATGGGTTTTGTACAAAATAGGAAAAAATTAGCCTTCATCTCCAAGTTTGGTAGGTTGTTAAGCATTATTATTAATACCTTTAAATCCCCTGAAAAATACAAACCTCCCCATAGATTGCAAATATATACTTGAGATTGGGAACCTTTCTTTCTCTATAGGCTGTCGATTCTTCGTTTCTCAGTTCTCTTTTACCAATTTAACTTGAATATCTGCTCTACTGCTTTAAGAAAATATAAATCATTTATTTGTTACAGAAATGCGACTTCTCTTACTGCGAGTACATTCGCTCCGCACCGGCAAGAAACCTCGACTCATGTGGCTTTGGTGAGATTACATTAAACAACATCTCTGAATTTATACCAGTTCATTATAAGGAGAAAACCATTTCTTAACCACATATAGCGTACAAAAATACTTTAGTCACTAAAAGAATTTCAAGTAATAAATGTTCTGAAATAAAACATTTTACTGGGTAAGGACTCAGAGAATACCAGCGTAAAATAAAAGCTTAATGCTGCCCTGTTTTGTATGGTGAGTGGGGAGAACATCTTAGTTCTCGGAAGTGACAACACATCTGTACAAGGATTGATGTAGGTGTCTATAGGCCACACTAACTAATGACCATCAAGTGGACCGTGTGTTCGTTGTATCACTTTTAATTTAAAAAAAATTAAAGCTAGGTTGGACAAAAATATCGTGTGTTATATAAGATGTTGACGCTCTCTCGCTGAAAAAATATGCGCATACAGGAAATACTCAATTAAATTCCAAATCGAATGGATATTCAAAATAGTAGGTATATATTAGTCGTAATAAAATAATTATGCTTTAGTCGCTGGGAAAAAAGCCGTTCGAGGTCTCGTTTTTTTATGCTATGATCATAATATAATGTTTTTCGACAGTACGAAAGACATGTTATCGAATTAAATTCTTTATCGGGTACATTTTTGTTTCGATTCTTTATTTTCCAATAATAAGCAAAAATAAAGAAATTTTTATGAAAACGGATATCACTGGATATCGCACGCTTACTTCGTGCTGGATAAATATGGATTCAGTGCGAAAGAGAAAGCTGAAAATCATTCGTAGTTTTCAACATCTACGAATTAACATTGTTATAACAAAAGATTAGTATAGAAAAGAAAAGAGGAGCCAAAATATAAGTATTAGTAATAGTAGAATTTCTATAAATAATATAAACGTACATAAATTATATATAAAATTTGTAAGTAAATAACATATAAAATTTGGCAAAATATGCGTTACACTCGTTATATAGTTAATAAATATGTAATACTCGTATAGAAATTCCCTTATATATAATATTTCTTTGTGAAAATTATTTTGAAAATGCTAGTAGGTGTTTATAGTAATAGTAACTATTTAATTTGCATTGTATTTAATCTATACTTCATTTGTACAAGTGGTAAATTAAATCTTACAATATAAAGTACTTCTAAAGTAAGTCAGTTTTTACGTGGTAGGGCCATGCTGCAGTTATATTATCGTTGTAGCACGAATGAGTTGGCTCGACCGGGGAATGACCACGCTCTCACAGAATACTAGTGTAAAAGAATAATGCTGTGTTTCCTGTGGTGAATGTAGAGTATCAGACACCCTTTTTCTTTGGAAAAAAGGCTTTCTATCTTAATCTTCAGGGGTGACAATGCATCCGCATTTTGATGCTTAATCGAGGATAGATGTAGATGTCAATGGGTCACAGCTTCATCAGATACCTCAGTAAGGTAGGTCCTGAATGAACAGTTCAGCTTCCAAGTGTACTGCTTAACAGTTGATGCGATTAAACGCTTTAAGGCCCACTCGAATGAGACGATAGCGCAGAGCGAAGTGCTGTTAGCGGTGTCCTTAAATATCGCCAACGCTTTTAAATCCCTGCCTTGGGCTTGCATCAGAGAGGCATTCAAATATGACAAAGTGCCTTCGTATCTACATCGAACTGTAGAGGACTACCTCTTTATGAAAGGTACATCTCGTAGCCAGTGTAAGAAGGTAAAATTTAAAGGAGGAAATTATCGTGCGGTGTTTCACAAGGTTCGGTCCTAGGACCTCTTCTGTGAAATATTGGTAACCACTGAGTGTTGCGGGGCAGTCTACCCCCCGGTCGTGACGCGCCATGCAGACAACACACCTGTCGCCGCGCGGGATGTGACCTATGAAGAGGCTACCCGTCTTGCCTCTGTATCGATGGCACAGCTTGTAGGCAGGATAGGTCTGTTAGGGCTTAAGTTGCCGCTAGAAAACTGTGAGACCACGTGTTTTCACAGGCCTCGGAGAGCACCACCATCGTGGTCCCACAAAGTTGTCAGTGACAGTCAAATATGAAATAATGATTTCTTATATTTACGCGAACACTACACATTGAAATAATACTAGTTTTTACGGAATTTATCGCGTATATTTTAACTTTTTAAATACTCGACGTTTCGAACGCTTTACAGCACTCATGGTCACGGGCAGGACTGAGATGTTCAACGTCCATATGTCATAGTTAACCGCGGTTACCATAGATTAAATAAAATTTAACTTTTGTTCCGATCTATGCAGTATGAACTTATGGTATCTTGAAGTCTTGCAGTTGTATGCTTGGGTTGGGATTTAATTTTATTTATTATAGGATCCCAAGCAGATGGTAGCACCCAGCCATCTTCTCTATTGAAATTAGGATGTTTTTTGATTTCAATAGCCTCGCGAATCATCCTTGGAAGGAATCGGTGGCTATTAAGGCTATTGAAACAACAAGTGAGCCTTAATATATTCCTTAATATACTTATAGGAGATTCTAGAGGTGATCAAAAAACATCCTAATTTCAATAGAGAAGATGGCTGGGTGCTACCATCTGCTTGGGATCCTATAATAAATAAAATTAAATCCCAACCCAAGCATACAACTGCAAGACTTCAAGATACCATAAGTTCATACTGCATAGATCGGAACAAAAGTTATATTTTAATCTATGGTAACCGCGGTTAACTATGACATATGGACGTTGAACATCTCAGTCCTGCCCGTGACCATGAGTGCTGTAAAGCGTTCGAAACGTCGGGTATTTACAAAGTTAAAATATACGCGATAAATTCCGTAAAAACTAGTATTATTTCAAAATATGAAATACCTTGGTCTCATCCTCGATAGCCGCTGGAACTTTCTCTAGCACTTCGCTCGATTGAGCCTCCCGAATAATGAAAGTAGCAGCTGCCTTAAAGCGGCTGTTACCCAACATTGGGGGACACGATGCGAATGGCCGCCCTCTTTATCTATGGGTGGTGCAATCTATGGAGATATATGGATATATATCCCTGTTTAGGTGATGGCTCTGACAGAGAGGAACGTTGTCTTCTTGAGAAGACCTCAGAGAACGATGATCGTCGAAATAAGAGAATATCGCACATCTTCTATGAGGGGGTATACGTATTGACTGAATAGAAACTCCGAGGAGTGGACTTCGGAATTTAGGAGCGGATTTTCTGCATTCATGTTGAACTCCGGCTTTAGCGTGATTATTCCTCACACCCAGAGAGCTGGGATTGCGAAGGTTCCACGCTCGGCAGTTTATGCTAGAAAATTGGAAAAAGCGACTGGCCTACCCGAGGGCAGGAAACAGGACTGTCGAGGTTGTTTGTCATTATAGTATAGTCAGATTGGGTGAGCAGGTGGCACGGGTCATTGACCTACCGGCTGGAGCAGGAGCTTTCTGGGCTTGGGTTCTTTGGTAGGTACCTGTACCCTATTGCCACCACTGTTGCGATTAGGACACGACGCAGCATACGGTTTAGAAAAACCCGGCTTTAACTAAGCTGCGTCGTGACATCGTAGCTTTAGTAAGGGACAACCTCTCACTCCCAGACCTATGCAACGCTATTATTGGATGCTAGAGAACGTGGTGCGCCGGTGTCACCTTCTACGAGCAGAAGTGCCTTTTTTAGCAACACGACACTCATGCAATCAAATTATTTTATGTCTGAGTTCTCTTATTTATTTTCGTCTTTGGTGTTTTTATGCACTGTTTTAATTTCTGTATTAAAATTGTATGAGTGTAAGTTGCTAAATAAATGCATCCATTGTCTTAATCGAGGATAGCTGTTTGTTGATGTCTATTGGTAACAGCATCCACTTACTGTCAGATGGACTGAGTGCTCATTTGTCACCCTCATTTTCTAAAAGAAAAAACCCAAAATACAAAAACCCAGAGAAAGAGTCAACCCATGTGTGTAAGTTACGAGCATTAACATTTTGACCTCTCATCTCTAGAGAGGTCATGGCGACAACACAGACGCCTCATAAATATTAGTCCCTTATTTTATTTTCATGAATCTTAGTACACATCAGCTGGTACTATTTGGTTACTATATAAATATATAATATGGAGCATTGGCTTTGGTTGCTTGCTTATCGAATTATATACAAGTGAATTAGTAATGAGTACAATGTAATAACCTCTTGGATACATTCGCTTAGCTCGATTCTTCCCCATACCTGTGCAGATATAAATAAATATTTCTGACATTAAGCACACTAAATTATAATTATAAGTCGTCCCAGTTGCCTTTAGACCGAAACGAGTTAATACCTAAATGTAAATTAAAAAAAATAATATGACATACAAAATAACGTGCTCGGGTGAACGAAAAGTTGTTTGAAATGTTGCATGTGTACGGCACAGATTATCTTATGATATAATTTAATGTATGCAAGCTACATAGAATTATTATACGATTATTTGTAAGCGCGTACAATTAAGTGTAAATTTCATTTTTTGAAATAAGCGCAAATTATACTTTATAAAAGTACATACAGAACACGTTGTACTCTTTTATTCAAAAAAAAACATAGCATGATTTACACATTTATACGAAAACAATTGACATCTTTTGATTTTAATCAATAATACCTTTATGAATTATATACGATTTTAATATTTATAATACAAAAATAATAATGTTCTCGCATGATAAATTTTGTAATATCTTTTTATAGCATTGGGTGCCAAACGAGCATACAGTCTACCAGATGGTAAATGGGTGCTGTGGCCCATAAACATCCACGTTTATCCTCAATTAAGAATCCAAATGCAAATGCGTTGTTACCCCTGAGGACTAAGATGGAATTCATCGATTCCAGTAAAAAGAATCTCCGGTTCTCTACACTCACCATACGAAACACAGCAGCATTACGCTGCTATTTTACGCTAGCATTCTGTGAAAGCGTGGTCCTGCCCCGGTTGAGCCGACCTAATCATGCTACAACTATAATATACATAGCTACAGCGTGGCTTTACCACGTAAAAGTAAATATACAATATATAAATCATAAGATTCAATAATATAGTCCTTATGGCAGAATCGCTGGAGGACCTTAGCACTATGCTCAATGACCTCAATGGTGTCTCCCAACGGATAGGTCTTAAGATGAACATGGACAAAACAAAGATCATGTTTAATGTCCATGTCACACCTATGCCGGTAGTTGTTGGGAGCACTATGCTCGAAATTGTTGACTTTACGTTTACCTGGGACAAATAGTCCGACTAGGTAAGTCCAACTTCGACCGAGAGGTCAATCGACGGATTCAACTCGGCTGGGCAGCGTTCGGGAAATTACGACACATCTTCTCGTCAGGTATACCTCAATCTCTGAAAACTAAAGTGTATAACCAGTGCGTGTTGCCAGTGATGACTTACGGATCTGAGACGTGGTCCTTCACTGCTGGCCGTATGAGGATGCTCAAGGTCGCTCAGCAAGCTATGGAGAGGGCTATGCTCTGAGTTTCTCTGCGTGATAGACTCAGAAATGAGGATATCCGCAGTAAAACCAGAGTGACCGACATAGCCCAACGGATTAGTAAGCTGAAGTGGCAATGGGCCGGCCATATAGCTCGAAGAACCGATAACCGATGGGGAAGAAAGGTTCTCGAGTGGCAGCCTCGTACCGGTAGGAGTAGTGTAGGGCGACCCCCCACTAGATGGAGTGACGACCTGGTAAGATATGCAGGAAGTCGATGGATGCAGGTGGCTCAGGACCGTGCTTTGTGGCATTACTTGGGGGAGCCCTATGTTCAGCAGTGGACTTGTGAAGGGCTGTAATGATGATGATGATGATGATGAAGATTCAATATTGTAAAAAGTCATGCAGTTAATGTGACATAGAGGTCGTTTTTATTTTTTTAAACTATGATTAAAGTGCGTTCATTAATATTATTATCAATCAATTAATAAATATACTAATATACTACTTTTCATTTCATTTATACAAGTTTGTGTTTCAAACTTATATTACCTTTTATTATTTAATCCATATAAGACCTTCGACACTTTTGCTTCCCCAGGCATACATACTAGCGATAAAAGTTAAGCGATAAAAGTTTCCGTTTTTTGTAAAAGTCGTTTTTATTCCAAATATTTCATTATTTATTTTCTCTATCCTATTTACTTTTTCATTCGATAATAGCATTTCATGTCGATAGTACATGTCATGTCGATAGTACTCATCAGCTGGTACTATTAGGTTACTATATAAATATACAATATGGAGCATTGGCTTTGGTTGCTTGCTTATCGAATTATATACAAGTGAATTAGTTGGTCATTGAATCTAAAATCTGGTCTAAAATTTCATACTTACGGCTGTAAGTATGAAATTTTACTAATTAACGGGAATATTTAACTGAAAACAAAATTTGTCGAAACAATATTTTCATGGCTTCAAATAATTATATCTTTATCTTACAGAATTCCGTGAACAGATGAACTTGGCGACTTCAGTTCTCGACGGTTCGGCATTGTACGGCAGCTCAGAGAAAGAACTTCGCTCACTTCGGCTCTATGATGCCGGAAAACTCGACCTAGCTTCTTGTCGCAAGTGAGTTCCTACAACATTTAGAGCGAAAAAAAAATATAGATATCATCAATTAATCAAAATTATAATAAAAATTCTTTAAATTTAATTATTTTGGGCTTTTGATGCTGTCAAGTACTAGTTCTTTAAAATAGATCTGTTTGTTTATTTGCAAAGTTATTTCACAATTTTTTTTCCTTATTATACACATCATTATAATTTAAATCTCAAGTTCTTTAATGTGCCACTATGAATTCCTTCTACGTCTACACTTAAAGTCCAATATTTAAGATAAAAACTATTTAAATCTGTTATTCTACCTCTATAGATCACCTATTTTATTACTACAGAATCTTAATTTTTTATCATTTAATTACAATTACATTGTACATCGGTGTGAACATGTCCCACGTATTTCTGTCGCTGTGCATTCAGGCACGCCGAAGCTGCTACGGTGCTCTTTGTCAATCCATTGTTTTTGCTCAAGGATTCTCATTATTATACGTATATACAATAATTTAACTTTGTTCCTTTATTTGATTATTGTGGAAATAACTAAACTATGTAAATTTTTTTGTTTACTAAAAACCTAAAGGATAAAAATAGTTAGATTAAGGATAATGTTGGAAGTGATTACTTTTATTTCACAAAGCTTTTGTAGTAAGTACTGATGCAATATGAAAAGAAGGAAATAAAATCGGTATTAGGTTATATACCTAATATACTAATAAATAGCTTAACAGCAAGATGTATACAGGCTGTTTAATTATGCCTCTGGGTAGGTTTTAAACCCTCAGCGTAATAGCCCGATGCTCGGATTACTATGCTAGCGATCTATTGAGAAAAATATATTTCAGTTTTATACTAATATATATTTAGCTTTACTTACTCAACTGACGGGATTATTTATTTAAACCTAATAGTAGTTACATATACTGTGACTAAAACCGGACGCAATTTTATAGTCAATATGTTTAATATTTTATTTAAATAAATTGTACAATTAATTCAAACAATACCTAGTAAACCATAACAGGTTTCTGAACTAGGATAAACCTTTATTTCAGGTGTATTTATAATTATAGTCAAAGTTTATCGTTGTTTATCGTTATGACTTATCTAAAAATGTATAACTATTCAGTGGGGCGCGTTCATGACGAGTGTGTCGAGGAGACGACAACAAACAAAGTACTCAAACAAAAAATTCGTTTCAGAAGGTCGTAAGAAGCGACCCGTCTTGTTGTATGTTCAATACTCCGTAAATGCCAACTGTTTTCTACTTTAGCCTTAGGCTTAGCCTAAGTAATCTAGCCAAATTGAGGTTGTAATCAAAACTCGATTGATATCCGAGTATAAAATAACCATTTAGCGCGTTTGCGTTACAGATAACATCTTCCTCTTTTATTTTCTCATCGACATTATATGCACACAATAAAATTACATAGCATATATGTATACTCGCATAAGGGTGCAAGATAATTTAAGTATGTACTAAAAACTAAACCGACTTCTCTTGCTCTCGAAAAAGTCATAAACCATGACCATACAGAAACACGCTGTATTCAATTCAACGTTTGGTTAATGTATAAAGGTTAAAAATTACAAGATTTATGCTACGGCTTTTATAAAAGTAAAACCAACAAAAAATACTTTAATCCACCTGATAGTAAGCGGATGCAACGACACATAGGCCCCACTATACACCTTAATCTAATCTCGATTTAGAATCAAATGCAGATGCTTTACCACTCCCAAGATGTAAGATGTAGGATGGAATGCTTCGTTATGGGTATCGTAGTATAAATAGCTAGTATAATTATAAGTTGAAAGTCATTTCATCGTAGTCCTCAGTGGTGACATTGCATCTGTGGCCTCCTTTGGAGTTTTGGCGGGAACTTGGCCGTTGACGGATTATCGCTCCTGTTTTGTCGCTTGAATAATGTGTTGAAGTGGATTTTGTGTCGTAAAAGTGATGCGATTTTGTGAATTAAGTCTCTGCGCGTGTGAACTATTAGCGAAAACGATGAAACAAGTGATCTAATGTTGATATAAACCTCAAGTTATTTTGTTCGCTTGGGCGCCTTATAAACTTGTGGGGTCGCCGTCATCAACTGTCCGCTGGGTTGAGCTGTCATCAAAATCTACCAAAAACTTCGCAATGTGACGCATCAGCATATTTTGAAGAATAAATACATAAAAATAAAGATTCCGAAAAAAATGACAGGCTCAGAAGGGCTAGAACCCAGAGCCGTAAAGTCAGTTAAATAAAAAAATTGTGGCCTCCCTTGTTTTTAGTAAGTTGCAGGTGCCCATGGGTTTCAGTAGCCACATAACATCAAGTGGGTCGTAGTTCCTTAGTCACTTCAGCTTTATAAAAAAAATCGTAAAACAGAATACGAGCAACTACGCAGGTCTAGGGAAAGAGACCAGTATCATTGCGACCTAAAAGATCTATTGTTATCGCTGCTATGGCTACGGTTCACCTCTAAGCCCTATGTCTTCAATGAATAGAAGGAGTTGCTTAGCCGTGGGCAATTTCACTTCTTCTGGGCGGGGTAGATAGTTTCCCAGATGACGTTTGCGCATTAAGAGTCCGCAATCAGTTAGGATGTGCAGAGGCGCTTCATCCATTAAGGAACATCCCAGGGCTTCTGAAGCGAATTTATCATCAAAAGCCCGGATTAAGGTTTTAGAATGTTTTAAGCCTGGTGTGTAAGACCAGATCTTAAGTGATTTATTGTGATAAAGAGTTTCAAGGGTCAATCGGGCTCGGCTTCTTGAGATTCCACAAAATTGCTCAGGTCAAAATTGTGTGCACTTTGAGCTCTCCCGTGTAAGTTTGTCGGCAAATTCGTTACCTACAATACCCGTGTGACCCGGAACCAATATTAAAATGACCGTGTTGTTCTGCAAAAACACTACGTCAACCATATAATCTATATAAACTCTGATACTCAAGCAGCACTGCTAGCGCTGAGGTCAAACTTAGTGAACACGAAGCTACTTGGAGACTGCGTGAACCATTGAAACGCCCTGGGAACACTACGTTGTATACATCCTAGAGCGTTTGAACGGTTCACGCAGTCTCCAAGTAGCTTCGAGTTCACTAAGTTTGACCTCAGCGCTAGTAGTGCAGCTTGACCATCTGAATTTATATAGATTATATGGTTGACGTAGTGTTTTTGCAGATTGATTTTCGCACACTGAAGTATGGCGAAAATTTGTGCCTGGAAAATAAAGGTGAATCTACCCAAATTCATACGTTTGTTAATAATAAGTTTGAATTTGGTGCGTTTTCCCGAAAATCCAAAGCCTAGGTCAAGGCCAATTTTAGACCCATCGGTATACCATATAAGGCTACCAACCTCACAGATACCCTGGCCATTCAGCCAGTTTTCTCTGGAGGGTAATTCCACTATATACTTTTCATCAAAAGTGTGTAGTGGACGCACGATATCTGAGATCATGCGTAAGACCGGTGTTTCCTTAATTGAGTCGACCATGGATCTCAATCTGTAGGAGAGCAAACTACTAACTACTAACAAAAAATCAGACCACCCTGGGCGTTGGTCCTATACAAACTAGCCCTCGCTTCCTTGTCTAGATAAAGATAAAGGGGCGTTAGGCATAGAAGTGCATTAAGAGAGTATGGCCCTTACCTGGTCAGTTTTTGTACTACATACAAATGCGATATACGATTTAGTTCATGCTTGAGAAGTTTAGTTACCATTAACTTAGTTATCACTAGTAGTATAGTTGTAGCATGAATGGGTCGGCTCGACCAGGGATGGACCACACTCTTACAGAATAACAGCGTGAAATAGTAGCTTAACGCTGCTGTGTTTCGTATGGTGAGTGTAGTGAAACGGAGACCCTTTTTTACTGGAAACGATGCATTCCATCGTAGTTCAGTTCTAGTCCTCAGGGGTGATAATATATCTATCTGCATTTCGATTCGTAATCGCGAATAAATTTAGATGTCCATGGACTACAGCTATCACTTACCATCAGGTGGACTGTGTACTCGTTTGTCACCATATCCTATAAAAAAGAATTTCGTTGGTATAAAAGACACTCAAGGATTTACTTTACAGACTAATAACTATGTGGACGTATTTTTACATTCCCTTTGTAAAATGGATTAAATATAAATATAACAAATAAGCTTTGGCATGATTTGCAATGTGATATGATGCTATTTATAAGCTTGACTTTTTTAAAACTTCTTCAAACTTTGAGTTTTCACATTAGCACAAATCCATTGATTTAAAATTTTCATTTGATTTTAAATATTACTGCATTTTCTTTTTTTTTTTTTTTTTATTTTATGAAGATACCTCCAAGGTCAACTGGCAAATTAGTGACTGACATAAGCATGGATAAGAAACCATTAAACTTTTTACAGTTTATTGATTTTTGTGACTGCTATCTTTGGGTAGAATTCCGATCTTTATTTAAATGGCAAAAGCTAGTAGTCTGAAATAATGCCAACCTTTTTTATAGTACGGAAGTGACAAAGGAACCTCTAAGTCCATGGACACCGGCAGCCAACTTTGAACTAAGAAGCCTAAATATGTGTTGTCACCTCAGGATGAGATGGAATGCCTCACAGCAGTAAAATTACATTCCATCTGGCCCGCTTTCTATGCCTTTCCGATGGAAACAGAGCAGTGTGAGCAGTGCTATTTGTCGGGAAAATATGTAACTACTTTTTACTATTTCTGTGCAATGATAAATCATCCACTGTTATGTTTTTGTTTGTAGTATAGAGTCAGAGAATTTTACTAGCTTTAGAGCATTCTAGTCAAGTCTAAGAGGTCTTAGCCTGAAGTTAGCAGCAGGTTTATCGGTTGTTTTTCATTGTTAGGTTTTACGAAATCATAAAATGATTAACTTCAATATCTGAACATGTTTGCTTCTACAGGTGCAACGATGGTTTACCAACCGCCCCTCTATACAAGGCTCTTTTATTTGAACACAACCGGATCGCTGGCGAGCTCTACTCCATGAATCCTTTCTGGGATGACGTTACTCTATTTTTGGAAGCAAGAAGAGCAGTTGCAGCTGAGATCCAACACATTACGTTCAACGAGTTCTTGCCAGTGCTACTTGGAGAAGTAAATATTAATTGATTATTAATTTATTTCATAAACAGTTAATTTCCAGAAAATTCTCAAGATATAATCTTAATATACACACATTACGTGTCACGTTGTTTGTACGCGATGGACTCCTAAACTAATTAACTGATTTTATTGTAATTTGCACACTGTGTGCAGTTTGGTCTAACTTGAGAGATAGAATAGTTTTTGGCTCATGAGTGGGTCACAATTTTTTTTGCGGATTTAAGGATTTTTAACAAGACATGACAAAGGGTCGTCGAAAAGGGCAGAACAACGTCTGCCTGGCAAGCTAGTGTATTATATAGATCGGTGAAAAAAGTTTAATTTATAACCAAAAAAAACATAATTTATCATTACCTATTAAAATCTTGTATCTAGTTCATTCACTCCAGTGTTATAACAGATTTGTAGACCACAAATCAGTCATAATATTTATGAATCATATTAGCATAATGAATTTTAATGATGTTCACTCCGCTAAGAAATATGAGTAACATCAATTGACAAAGTTCATTTCAAAAAGGTTAAATCCAATAGATCAGTTAGCCATCATTACCATCTACGAACATAGTTTTTATCCCCGACGAAAATAGAGGGGTATAATAATATGTTTAACGTGTGTATCGGAGTGTCTGTTGCATCATCAGCTCCTAAACAAATGAACTAATATTGATTTAGTTTTTGTCGTTTAAAAGGTGTCTTAATCCAGAGTGTTCTTAATTATATTTCAAGAAAATCTGCTCCGCCGTTTGAAAATCATCGCCCCTTTTACGGGAGTTTTAAATGTTTAATTTATGTTCATAAACTTACAAACAAAAGCCTATTTGGGTACTTTAAACCTATTTTTGACACTGTAGCTCTACTCACAATCGCAAAAATAGTTGTAAACACAGTAATTAATTATTTTTTAAATTTATTAACAGTACATTCCCATGTTTAAGGTCGGTATGGCTAAAGCGGAGTTGAAGCTAACGGCCCTAGGCTTCTGGCGAGGATACTCCAGTGCAAACCGTGCCGGTGCATATGCTGAACTGATTTCAGTCGCTCCTATATTTAGTGCGATGATGCATGAAAAGCTAGTAAGTTTCAAAATATTTTCATAAAAGCATTTTCTTTTTTTAAGCAATATTCAGTGACAGTTAAATTTTTATTTCGTCATCCTCATCATCATTACATTCCATTCCCATCACAAGTCCGCTGAAAAACATAGGCCTCCCTCAAGGAGTGCCACAAAGCAGATCCTGAGCACCAATCATATTCCTGCAAATATTATCAGGTCGTTACTCTATATACTAGAGGGCTGCTCTAGATTATATATAGATAGACACCAGAATGAGGCTACCACTCGAGAACCTTTTATCTCCATTATTTGTCGATTCTAGTAGTTTTATGGCCGGCTCATTACCACTTCAATTTACTGATCCGTTGTTACTTTAAAAAATTATTTAAAAATGATACCTAAAAGTCTCTACTTAACATTAAAGAGTGTCTTTATAATATTTTAATCTTCTGTTTAACCCCCTTAGTAGAAAAATCAAATTTCTAACTCCAGGTCTCTACGTTTTTAAATCGATTTCATCTTCGTAAAACACTGTCATAGAAACGCTGTAATAAAGAGAACAGTGGACACCGTGATTCTATTATAATAGCACGGAAAATAAAAAAGAGTAAATAAACTGTTATTAAATAGATAAGCTTTTAATAAGAAGTAAGTAATGAATGCACTTAGAACCTATGAATCATGGCCCATCTATACATACTATAATAAATCTATAGAAAAGTCGTGTCTGTAATTCTAATACTTTCAGGAAATAACAAGTCCAGAGGACTAAATAAATGGCACTGAAGCCAAACTCAGTGATTTTTAGAATTGTTGTCTGTGTATTTATGATACACACAAAAACTACTTAACAGATTTTTTTTATTATAAAACGTTAGCCCTACTCTAGGATTTTCTCCTGTCGGGGGGCAGTTTCTGGGTGGGGTGTGTGCGGGATTCGAACCCGCGACCCCCAAGCGCAGCCACTCATTGCTAAGCCACTGCGCCACGGAGTCGTCTAATTTCCATGAACTTGGGGGGACCCGAGGTTACTTATAGGTTATTTTATCCGATTACGGAACTTCGAAAAAGGAAGGTTAAGTATTTTCCTTCCAGTAAATGTTAATTTCTAATTTATACAAATAATGTGTTTTATTGAAATAAATAAAATATTTATAAATAAAGCTTAAATTAGTTTTGACCGTTGCGTAATAAATTGACCTAAGCCGACATACTATATTTCACTTTTTCAAGTCAGTGCCATCTAACGTAAAATACAAAAAGTACTTAGTAACATTTTGCCTCCAGTTACTAATAAATTAAATAATACAAATAACTTACATTTATATGGTTGTTTCATTAAATTCATAATTGATTTGAAAATTCTAACGTACAATTTTTAGTTTTTGTTATTTCATTTTAGTGGATATAAATAAATTTTACTTAAAATTTATTTAGATCCACTAAATTTTTACTTAAATAGATAATAGTGACATCTATCGAAAATCGTAATATTAAGGATGTTTCTAAGTTCGATTTATAATCTATAAAAAATTTTAATAGGTTTATTTTTATCTATAAATAAACTGATGAAATTGCAATTAGTACAAAACTCTTATTATCTTTATAGTTTAAATAAAGAGATATTTATATAGGTATTGGTCAGACCCTATTATAATTTACAATATCATAAATTAGTCTATTATTGCGTGAAAAGACAGTTTTTCATAAAATTTAACAGTGTTTATAGACTATATACTTCTACTCCCGTTCGTGAATTTAGTTCTACTCACACGTTCACCGTGAACAGAACTAAATTTACGAAATTTTGAAGTCTAATCGAACGTAAAAAAATACCGGCGTATGGTGCTTATCAATATTCAATGGGGCCAATATTAATAAAGACTTAGAAATTCAACATTATATTAAAGCTATATCAACTTTGATTATGAGTATTATCTAAATAGATTGTAATTCCCTCCATGAGGACTTGATAAATCTACACAATAAGGGACTAAAACCACTTTTGAATGTATAAATAGCAATTAATAGATTTAAAAAAAATATTAGTTCAACAATCATTTATCTTTCTGACAATGTGCTTTTTATATCATTTGTTCAATATGATTGTTAGAAACGATTTCATGCGACAAAATGTTGAATTTTTAATTGTTAGGCGCTACTAGAACATACCTACGCGCTTTACGCTTAAGGCATGGAATAAGGCATTTCTGATTCAAGGGCAATTTACCCTTCATAAAGACACATCGGAAGACGTGCTCGATATAAAAAGGTGTTGCTAGGCGTATGATATTAATGTAATGCTGATAAACTCACTTATGTGTTTCTATAGCATATAATATTGCCAAATTTCAATCATTTCTTACGTTCAATATAGACACAGATACCGACGTGTCTCCACAAGTGACCTGTTTCGCTAATTTTAGTACCAAATAGTATTATCGATGTTTATAATAAAACCTGAACAAAACAAGAAAGGCTATCAAATTGTCTGATTGGTGTTTTTACATTAGATCCCAAAAGTTAGTTAAATTGGCAAATCATAAAACGAATTCAAGTATATTAGTATAACAGTTTAATTCTATAGAAATAATTAGAATAATTTTGTTAAAAATCTGAAATAGAAACAACAAAATCTTAAATATTATTATTAAAATGTGTACTATTATTATTACAGATCAATGAAACAGTATCTGTTATGGATTTGGTGAAGACAAGCGCCTATAAAGTATCCAAATTCCCACCTTCATCACAATGGGACTTGAGTCGTTCCCGTGATCACGGTGTCGCGTCTTACTTAAAAGCCGTTCGACTTTGTGACCCCATGGTTAATGTGAAATCATATGCAGACTTCGAAAATCTCGGATTTAACAGAGCACAACAAGAAATGATGGCTGACATGTACAGGTATAATAATTATTTTTGTCTAAAAACAAAAATATACTATTAAAATAGTCATTAGTTTATATATAATTGTCATTAAGAGACACAGTAACAGTCACAACTACTAATAAATGTTGTTAAGTACTATTATTCTGAAAGATTTTTAGTGAAGTGATATCTTGACTTAACAGGAAGTGGGTGGTCTGAAAAGTTTCCGATCTAACAAAGATAACATAGTCTCCTTGTAACTCTTCACTCTTCTCCCAACGATGCTTCCATTTCTCTAACCTATCCAAATAGTACTCGGCATTCTTCTCTGCAAAATAGTTGTTTACTAAGGTGATTGCCTTCTCGTTTGACGAAAATCTCTGACCTCCGAGTGTAATTTTTAGATGAAAAACAAAGCAAAGTCGTTTGGATTAGGTCTGGTGAGTAAGGCGAATGGTCAAGCAGTTCAAACCGTAATTCGTGGATTTTGACAACCGCCGAGGTATGTGACGGCGCATTGTCATGGTGCAACAGGATTTTCTTTATCTGCAAATGTGGCCGTTTTGCCGCAAATTTTGCCTTTAGTTTGTCAATTAGTGATGCGTAGCGTGCTCCCGTAACACCTTTTTTTTTTTCATTTTAAGATAATCAGTTAAATCCATGACTATCCTAAAAATAGTCACCATCACTTTCTCAGCTGAAAAAATAGTTTTTGCTTTTTTTGGAGCCGGTTCCTCATTGCGGTCCACTGTTTTGACCGTATTTTTTGTTTCAGGCATGGTGCATTCAAATATCATCTATAGTAATTAATTGGCGCTAAAACTCTTATTTATTGCGCTTTAACTGCACCAACAGAACATTGGAAATGTTCATTCGAAAACGTTTTTTGTTTAACATGAACAAACGCGACATCCAACGCGCTGACAGCTTTCTCATGCCTAAATCTTGCTTTAATATGTGACACACACGTTTCTAGAACATTTTCATAGCCTCTGCTATCTCTCTTTCTCTCTCTCTCTCTATCTCTCTCTCTCTCTCTCTCTCTCTCATTTTAATTCGGCGGTCGTCTAGCACCTTCGACAACTGAACTTTAGCGATGTTATCATCAATAGTTGCAGTTTTGCGTCGTCCCGAAGGTTTATCGTCTCCCAAGCTCCCACGGCCACGCTTAAATTCAGTTGCCTAAAATTTTACTGTGGTGAATGATGGTGCCAAGTCCACACACACAGAGTCCAACACAACACATCTTTGGTTTGTGTTGAATGACAGCTCGATACTTAATTTTTTTTTCAATTTTCACATGAACACTCACATCGATTCACTCTAACGAATGTCAAATAACAACTACGGGTCCAAAATAACTGAAACGTTGGCGCGTAACTGTCAAAAGATGCATAACTGCATTCACTAGCTTTTATTGATGAATGCTTCGATCTTCACGTTGAGGTCGGAAACTTTTCAGAGCACCCTGGTAAAAGTCACGAATTACCACTCAAAAGTTGTTATCGGTAATTCCTTTTACGTTATGTCCACTATTTTATAATATCCTATTTAGGAGTAGGAAAAGTTGGGTATGACGGGAAACGGCTGGCGATTGCTGTCGGGAACGCTTCTCACGAAAACTTTGTAATGCATACTTAGCGTAACACGACACTGTATTATGTCCCTCAAACTTAATATTATATATAAGCGCTGGCTGCTACGCTAACATCCCGAGTTTAGTCATCGCCGGCATCAAGTAGTGGTAGAGCCTTGCTGCAGCTATATTATGGTTGTAGCACGAATGGGTCGGCTCGACTGGGGTAGGACCACGCTCTCGCAGAATACCAGCGTGAAATAGCAGATTAATGCTGCTGTGTTTCGTATGGTGAATGTAAAGAACCGGAGACCCTTTTTACTGGAAACGAAGCATTCCATCTTAGTCCTCAGGGGTGACAACGCATCTGCATTTTGATTCTTTATTGAGGATAAATGTAGATGTCTATCGGCCACAGTATCCACTTACCATCATGTGGACTGTGTGCCCATTTGTCATTCTGTACTATAAAAATAAACAATGAAGTTGTAAGATGTAATTAAAAGCTGATTTAAACTGTGTTCGGCGGTTAAAGAAAACATCGTTGATGATCACCTGTCGACGCGCACGAGCAGTGTAGGCACAAATTTTTCTGTAATCCGAACTAAGAGGAGTCCCTGTGTCCAACAAAGGGACTTATCTACAACTTTACTTTACTCATAATTAATAACTACAGAAATAAAATTCTATTTGAAGGACCAGTACATATAATCAATTTGTAAAACGAAGTAATTTTTTGGGAATCGTTTTGCTTTTCTCGTATTTTTTCTGACATAAATCTATAACAAAGAAACTGTTCTCATTAACTCTTACAATTTTTTTATGTTTACAGAAACGTTGAAGACGTAGAGCTAATGATTGGAGGCGCTATGGAAAAACCAGCATCTGGAGCGGTTGTTGGTTCAACCTTAGCATGCGTTCTGGCTCTACAATTTGCAAATTTGAAGAAGAGTGATAGGTAGGCATTAATTTAATATTTTAAAGTGGTACGTTTTGAAAAAATATGTTAAATACAATATAATTTGTAAAACGAAGTCCAGTCTGGAAATGTTCGGATATTTTAAAAGATATTGATAGTAATATAGCTGATGATAGACTGTAACACAGTTTTCAACTACCACGGGCTACAGAGCTTCAATATGATTTGTTTGTAAAAGTTATGTGAGAAACAATAAATTATTATTATTATTATTATTATTAATCTTAAAATTGCTTTAGAAAAAATTCTAAATTTGAGATTAAATACAATAGCCTGGAATCAAGCCACTTTACCTATCAAATTTGGTGGTAATGGTGTAAGAAATATTTCTAGCGTCGCATTGCCTGCTTTCCTTGCTTCCGTGCATGGTGTCAATGATCTATGTAACACAATTATATATACAATAATAAACTAGACCTGTGCTTTGCTGCAAGGCAAACATGGCTAACGCTCTGTCCCGGCGAAAATATCCCACTGGAAGTTAACCAACAAAAACAGTGGGATATTCCGTAGGTACGGAGTGTCCAGAAAAAATTATTTCAAAATTTCTACAGTCAACAAGATCAGGCTCGCCTTCTAGCTGTTTCGACTAAGGAATCTAGCCACTGGTTACATGCTCTACCATCAAGTAATTCTTAACTCTACACATTGCTTGATGGGGAAAGATTGCGCATCGCCGTAGGAATCCAGCTAGGGGTGGCAATTTGTCAACCTCACCAGTGCCCCTGTGGTAGCAGCGTCGATGAGTTTGGGCTCCACGGATTTTCATGCAAGAAAAGTGCAGGTAGGTTTTCCCGTCACGGTTTTTTGAACAAATACATCCAAAGGGCTCTTGTCTCCATAAACGTCCCCTCGGTTTTAAAGCCTTGCGGGATATTTAGAGACGATGGCAGGAGACCCGACGGTATACTTTGGTCCCTTGGGAGAGAGGTAAAGCCCTAGTGTGGGATGATACTTGCGTTGACACTTTGGCGGCCTCTCATCTCAAGGGTACCTCTTTTAGAGCCGGGGCGGCATCAGAGGCAGTCGAATTTAGTAAATGGCGCTATTATGAGGCTTTGAGAAATGACTACATATTTGTGCCATTTGCTGTAGAGACTACTGGTCCGTGGGGTCCGCGTGCAGTGAAATTTCTAAAGGAAATGTATCCACGACTCGTCGTCGCTGCTGGTGATAAGAGGGCTGGTTCTTTCCTCGCTCAAAGGCTAAGTATAGCTATTCAGCGAGGAAACGCAGCCAGCGTTCTTGGCACTATACCACGGGGAGCAGGACTTTTTAACCATTAAAATTTTTAGTTTTAGATTTTCTATATTATAGTTTCTTCTTTTATATTTTATATAATTAGTTTTAATCGTAAATATTACAATTTTAATTATTATTTTAGTTAAGTTCATTATTATAATTTTTGTAATATATTTTGAATTATAATATAATTTTACAGATTCTGGTATGAAAATGACATCCCTCCTTCCTCGTTTTCCTCCGAGCAGTTGGGGGCTATCAGAAAAGTTTCACTCGCAGGACTTTTATGCGGCTCTGAAGAAAAACTTGGCAATATACAACCCAAAGCCTTTGTCAAAGAAGATCCTTATTTGTAAGTTTATCATATCCCACTATTTTAATAATTTATGGCATTACTCACAATTCATTATTTAAAAAATATGCCAAGAACAAGCTGGTTTTCGAAAAAGCTTTAGTACCATAGGCACTTCAGCAAATTTTACAGAAAACCGAACAGTTTTTCAGAAATTGGACTTTGAAGAAACCTTTGATTCCAACAAAATTCGGGCGGTGCACTCAGTGAAGCCACATTGATCGTCGGTATGTCGAGATGCTAAGGTGTTCGAACAGTAGAGCTAAGATGGCTATTCGAGTACAGAGCCAGAGTACGAAACCTATCCAACTGCATAGAGGCGTAAGACGAGTGGCGTTATATCCTTGAAACTTTCGCCGCTACATTGGAAAACGTTTCAAGCTAGTGGGCTGGAAAATATACAGTATCAACACACACCTTCGATTTACTGACGATAATAATCATTATAGTAAATCGCTGGAAGTAAAGTCTTGCAAAATGTGATGACCTTAATAGTATCTCCCAACGGTTAGGTTTAGAACTACTGAAAGAAAAACACACGCTTGAAGTAAGCGATGAGTATGCTTTCCTATAACAAATTGTCCTACTAGCTAAAGCCAACTTTGACCGAGATGTCAATCGGACGGATTTTCTTTGCGCGATAGACCTCATATTCAGGTTATCCGCAGTAGAACCAGAATAACCCTGGGATAAGTAAGCTGAAGTAGGAATAGGCCGACTATGTCGTTTTCGTTATTGGCCTATGTTCAGTACTGGACTTGTGATGTGTTGTAATGATGATTTATGATGATCATTATCATATTAACTATTTTTATAGAACTTCAATAATTGAAATTCGCTATAAAGCCTTTCCAAGAAGTTAAAGTTCATCCTTTTTAATTAACATTATATCGTAATATTGTGTTGGATTATGTGTTATATTGTGGTAAGGATGTCCTCTATTCATCTTCATTACTGATATTTCGATAAAGCAATGAAATGCACAAATTATTTTTAGGAATGCAGCACAGCACTGCTCGCAGCACAGCCGTTTAGAACTAAACGCGTGGCGTGATGAGACCGGTGCTAAAGCTGCAGAAAGGTTATCTCAAGACATGCTTGCAGCTGCACTCGAAAAAGCGAAGCACGAAATGGCCGATAGGAAAAAACTAGAATATATGCTCTGGGAAGCACGTTAGTATAATATGTGTAGTATAGTTTTGATTTCCAGCTGACACTGGTGTTCAAGGCCCTCATATAGTGTGTAAGTTACTTATGATGTGTCCGCAAACACCAGGAAAAACATTGTACGTCCAACCTCAAAGATGTCTCGGTGGACACTAATATTGTAGTCTTTAGCACTACCCGTAGCAGGTCGGGTTGGCCACGAGCGTTTGATTTTTTTTTTTAGAATCTTTTCTCACCGTGACCTAAAAATACTGAACCTTTAGTTTTATAAAAGTTTTACATTGTTTTATTATGGATTATCTGAAAGGTACTAGTTTAAATAGCGATTGAATGTCATCTTTATGATTTTTTATCAAGCCTTGATTCGCATTTCTGCCTGCACACAACCATTTACCATTTGTTCAATATTTATAAAATATTTTTGCACTATAATTACATTTAAGTAGATTTACAGAGGTTCAAAAAAAGTAACGCATCATTGCTTTTAGAAAAATTTTGAGTTAAATAATACTGAGATGAAGGGACCTAATATGTGATTATCTAATTCGCTCTTTCGACATAACTATTAATATAATATAATAAATAAAAGCGGTCTAGGTGCGACCCGAAGGGTCCACACGACTAACTTCCCAATGGAAAGAATAAAAAAATATCATATGTTTTAATATTTTATACAATTTTCCATTCGGCACAAAAAATAACCGATTTTGCTCAAAATTTAATGAGGTCTAAGTTACATAATTATGCGTTAAATGAAACTGGTTCATGTCAATATCACTCTTTGTTCTCGAGATACACGAGGCGAAAATTTAATTCGTACATACATACATACATACGTACATATGCACACACGGACATCCTTTTAAAAACTATACTATTCGACTCTAAATAAAGACCTTGAAACGTGGAGAAATGTCAAAATTTCCAATTTGCAAAATCGGATCCATTACAATAACTAGCCACTGAGAATTTAAAAAAGATAACATATTAATAACACAGTAACACATAACAAGTACAATTACAGAAATATCTCGATTTAGTTTTTGTTAATACAATTTTTTTATGTTGAAGGTGGTGGGGCTGATCCGAAATCTCCAGTTGGAACAGCAGCCTCGTTTTCGAAAGCTAACAAATACGCGTTAAAACTCGCCAACACTTCTCTTTTCTTAGAATTCGCAACAAATGAACTTCTGAATTCAGTCAACACGGGGTAAGATTTTAATAAAGGAACACTGATATTCATTATGATGTTATTGTTTATTACGATTAAAGTTAAATTTGATTCTGGATTTAAAATGTTGACTATACAATTTAACAACAATAAAAATAAAATATTTTTATTTTCTGGAATCAATAACTTTATAAGCTGTACTTCTTTATTTCAGTCACCGTCGTAAACGTCAGATCTTTGATGACTCACTCAGCTTCGCCTCCAACGATTTCGTAGACTCCCTTCAGTCTGTAGATGTGAGCAGTTTCGTGAGTCAAGACCAGTTTGGACCCACCATCGAGCCCCAATGCGATGACATCGGTAGCTGTGACGCCAATAGCCCCTTCAGAACATATACTGGCTACTGCAATAATTTGAGAAACCCTAACTTGGGAAAAAGTTTGACTACCTTCGCTAGATTGCTGCCACCGGTGTACGAAGATGGTAAATTATTATGTAGTTCTATCTCTTTGCTATTTTAAAATAAGAGCATAACACTAATTAAATTATATAACTAACACTAATCTGCAATAAACTTTTTTTTACCTAGGTGTTAGCAGACCGCGCATCAATTCAGTAACAGGAACGCCGCTACCATCTCCACGTGTAATCTCCACTGTCATTCATCCTGACATCTCCAATCTACACACGCGGTACACGCTGATGGTCATGCAGTTCGCTCAATTCCTTGACCACGAGTTAACTATGACACCAATTCATAAAGGTACTCGTAATTTATTTTGATTGCATTACTTTTTGGATTATTACGTCGTAGAGCCACACTGTGAACTGTATATTATAGCTGCGGCGCGAATTAGTCGGCTCGCCCTGACCGGACCCGACCTAGAACACCTTACCAAGAACTCACAATAACAAACATAAAGATCCGAAACAATTATTTGTAGGCCAACCACGTAACAAATAGGTTTGTTATGTGGTAGAGCCACGTTGTAGTTATTACGGTTGTAGCATGAATGGGTCGGCTCCACCGAGGAAGAATATTATAACTATATCCTTCTTTTATACTATTGTGTATGGTGAGTGTAGAGATCCGGAGACCCGTTTTACTGGAATCGAGGCATTACATCTTAGTCCTCAAGAGTGACAACGCATCTGCGTTTTGATTCTTAATCGAGGACAAATGTAGATGTCTATGGACCACAGCATCCACTTGCCATTAGGTGGACTGTGTGCTCGTTTGTCACCCTTATCCTATAAAACTAATAATCGTTCCGTGCGGGATTAGAACGCGCGGGTCACAACATCGCGACTCATTGCTAAGCCACTGCGCCACGGAGAACTCTCGTTTATCATCGCTACTTCTCAAAAAATATTTATATAACTTTAAAAAAAAATATTTTGGTTTGGTGATACTACAAAAATAAAAAATAAATTCAAATACGACCACATACTACAATAGATTAAACATAATTATTCTTATAGGTTTTCACGAATCCATCCCGGATTGCCGCTCCTGTGACTCTCCGCGCACCGTTCACCCGGAATGTAATCCCTTCCCCGTGCCAAGAGGAGACCACTACTATCCTGAAGTTAATATCACGTCAGGCGAAAGGCTATGCTTCCCCTTCATGAGAAGTTTGCCCGGACAGCAGCATTTAGGTATGTACAGTGCTCTTGATTAAACAATATCTACGAGTCATGCCTTTTAAGTTTTGTCGTCTCATCAAAAAAATACAACTAGAACCTCATAGTACTTTTTATTGTTTTTCAAAGTAAACACCACGCAGTTTATTTATTTCATTCCAAAGTGGGGGTGCTCAATATGGCTGTTTTGAAAGCGTCTACTGCTTCTTCACCAGACTGGAACTTTTGACCACGAAAATTTTTCTTAATTTTAGGAAATGTAAAGAAATTGTTAGGGCTTAGGTCAGGACAGTATGGAGGATGGTCAAGAATCTCTACATTTTCCTGCTTCAAAAACTAAATCGTTTGATCAGCGCTGTGTGAGCTTGCGTTGCCATGGTGTAGGAAGATGCGTCGCTTACGGTTAGGTTTCCGAATTTTGGCTAAAGTTTGGCGATGACATGTCGTAAACAAACTGTGGTATACCACTCTGCATTAACCGTTCTACAATCTTCATGTGTAGTCGTCGCAACGTGGCCAGTTTTCGCAACGAACGTGACCACCATTTTCTTTGAAGTGCTTCGAGAGCGAACAACCTTAGTCAGCTTGGGCTCGTCTCACAAAACACAGATTGTAGATTGTTGTTTAGAATCGGGATCGCAGACATAGATACAAGATTCGTCACCGTTGATGAAATCATAGACGTGATTTGACTCTCTTCGGTTGAACCTTTGAAGAGTTTTCTTACAGCATCTGACGCAGGTCGTCCTTTGATCGTCGGAAAGCAAATGCGGGATCCAACGGCAAATTAGCTTTCTCACACCAAGCGCTTCATGCAAGATCTTCTGAATGGTTGTCCCTAAGATGCCTAGTAATACCTCTATCTCTCAATATGTCACATAACGATCTTCGAGAATTATTTTTCTCTCAGCAACGATGTTATCGTCAGTGAAGGTGGATTTTGGACGTCCTTCACGAGATTTGTCACTAAGATTGGTATATCTTCGCTGGAGTTTTAAATACCAGCGTTCGAAATTCTTCAGAAATGGGGCTTCATCATGAAATACAGAAGTTAGCTATACGAAATATTGAAGCCGTTTAAGACCTCTTCGAAATTTATTGCACGGATATTTTCCTAAGTAAGATTCATTTTCATTACCTAACCTGACAGAACTTAAAAAACACGCCTGTATAATGACCTCCTGATGAATATTAACCGTTGTATTATCTTTTCTTTTCTGGATCAATCGGTGTCAGAGTTGAGTAATTCTTAGGCCGCGTTTCCACCTGCAAGAAATCTTCTGCAAGAAGTGTTCGACAGCCTGTCAGACAGTAGCTTGCGGATATAAACTACGTACCGAGCGCACTCGTGACGGTTCGTCAAGCGTTTTCTCTGAGTGGTTGCGAGTGCAATTTATTGCAAGTCTAAATCAGTATTGCCATTTTAGCGCATTTGACATTAGATGTAGTGCAATTCTAAGGTCGAATGCGCTCTTTTTAAACACCTAGGTGCTAGTAAATATCTAGTGGAATCTGGCAGAAAATTTGATATAAGTTGGCAACACAATGTGATGAAAAACACTAACGATCTATCGTTCGGGTATTCTCCGACCAAAATGTTGCTAATTCGCTAATTGTTTTAACTCCTTTTTTCATTATGGTTTATGTAGCTGTTTTGCTTTTCATTATATTAATCCTCTAAGCTTTAATACCTGAGAAGAACTGGTTTTTCCCACTTTCGAGTTTCGTGTTAGTCTTTTAGCTCAGTTTTGTTAGTTTCGTGAAAATTTTAAATGGAGGTGCCACCAAGCAAGGAGGCTTATAGCCATAAATATGGATCTGAGAGGAAGCAAATTGCATGGAATTCAATTGGTCAAATAAGCAGGTGATGGTGATGATATAATGAAATTTGGGCTCAAGTCTCCAGATACAAAAATGCGGCTAGGATGAATGCTGCCTTTCGGGAGTTAGTGAACTTAGCTATCAGCGTGCTGTCGCTTAAACATTCAAACGCCGTAGTGTAGCGGATTTTCGGCGTTATTAACTTTGTCAAAAGTAAGTTACGTAGGCGGTACTTGTCAGCTGAAACGATACGTCATCAATAAAAAAATTAAGCATAGATGACACACATAAAGACTTACCTGAAAATGCCCTCGATTAATTACTAAAACAGTGGGGAAAAAAAGAATAGAAGCAGGTGTAGGTTTAGTGCAACTTTTTTTCTTCATATGGCATCACTGGTTTAAATATGTTCACATCGACTCGCTACAGATCTCGCTGCTTAGGGCCTAGTTTGGATTACAGAATAAATCATTAATAATAAGAATCTTTGTCTTTATAGAGTGCATTAGCTACATCACATATCACGGGCGATTTTTTCGCGTTCCACATCGATGTTGGCATTATTATTACTATGTTTTATATAGATCAAAAACTATGAGATTTATTTTTTATTTTATGTTATTACTACTCCCTTCAATCTTTAATTATTTCCACCTGCAACAACACTCTAAACTAAATTGCCATAGCCTTCGCAACATCTTTAGGAGCTCTCGTGGGCGATAATTTGCGATAGTATGATTCGCGAATTTCTCGCGAGATATTTATTGCCTTTGACGAGATATTTTAAAATTAAAATAAGATCGATTAGGAGACAATAACCGTTATTATAATCAGGTCCACGCGAGCAAGTGAATCAGAACACGGCATTCATCGACGCATCCGTAGTATACGGGGAGAACCCGTGTATAGTGCGCAAGCTGCGTGGTTTCAACGGTCGTCTGAACGCGACGGCGCACCCGCTCAACGGACGTGACTTACTGCCGCGTTCCGACAACCATCCAGAGTGCAAGGCGCCTAGCGGATTTTGTTTCATTGCTGGTGAGGTATTCTTTTATATTTTCTGGTTATATTTATTAACATTACTTAATTCGGAGAATCCTTTAGTGGATGTCCTTGCAAGAATACGTAAAAGATGCAAAGATTTTTGATTTTATCGTACTAAGAAAAAATGTTCTACCTGACCTAACCTAACCTGAACCTAACCTGAACAAACAGATGCGCTGTCACGTCTGAATACTAATATGATGAAATGACTCAAAGCCTGAAATCATATCAGCTCTCTATAATCTTTATTTATGGTGGAAAACATCATCGTGTTACCTATTCAAGCGGACTCTTAGCAAAAATGGTGTTCTACCAAATATGTTTGCTCTCATTGCTGGTATATTTCTATTTAAAATATTTGGATATTTGGATATTTTCCGCGATTAGTCTCAGAAAGACAGACACAGACAAAGTCTCATTCGTCAGTTATTCCCGCTTATGCTTATACAATACTTAAAATTCTCTTACATAAAATTTCTTTTACATAAATTCTGATTACTCTTCTTCATTATCTTCAACCTGCGAAAGTCACTGCAGGGCATGGGCTTCTCCCGTGGTAGGAAGAATTTGCTGTGATCATCACGCTATCAAGTGATTGATGATCACAGTCCCAGATATCTGATAAGGATTATGGGGATAATTATATAATACATAAAACAACAACAACATGGAGAGCATATAACCTCATACTTAACCTTCCTTCACAACTGACGCAGTGTTGCCATTACAATACAATATTATATTATATTCAATAAATTTTATAAATTTTTAATTAACAATATCCACGTTCCACACCATTGTCACCACTTCCCGTCGCTGGCTTGGACATGTTAAATATAATATCTCAAGCCAAAGATTCTTCAAATTTAGCTCGATCTTGACAAGCCTCGTTTACATGCACATCGATCAGGATTACTTTTAATTTGACCTATTTCCGGTATGTCATCAATTTGTTCGATAAATTCTATCCAGAAGTAAGAGGCAAAGTCTTGGCGATCTAGGCGATTCTGCCACTCACTTTTGCAGCATAAATTCGCTTTGTCACTCTTTCTTCATTAATTCTTTCTACATGTCCAAGCCACGGAAATGTTTAGGAGATGTCTGGCGTAAATGAGATTTACCGTCATGTTTTGAAAGTCTGGTCTGGTCTTTCTAGCACTTTCTACAATTCTGATTAGGTTGCCTTTGTATATAATATTAACATTGTATGGTGAGGGCGTAACACAAATTATATTTAACACCGCGTGTATAAGAGACAATTATCTGAAATTCCAACCAGTATCACAACCTCCCAAACATACAAACAATTTTTTTATAGAATAAGGGTAACAATCAGACTCACAGTTCACCTGATGATAAGTTGATGCTGTAGTCCATATACATCTACATCATTCCTCGATAAAGAATCAAAATGCGGATACGTTGGCACACCTACACTCGCCAGACAAAATACGGCAGCATTACTCTGCTATTTTATGCTGCTAATCTGTGAAAGCGTGGTCCTTACTCGCTCGAGATGACCCATTCGTGCTACAATCATAATATGACTGCAGTTGACTCACCACATATAAAGTGAAATTATAGATTACGATATAGTGGATATAGAATTAGTATAAGTAATTTAACTGTTAATCTGTCTCATTTAGGTGACGGCAGAGCGTCAGAACAGCCGGGTTTAACTGCAATCCACACAATCTTCCTCCGTGAACACAACCGACTGGTGGAAGGCCTGAGGGGAGTAAACCCTCATTGGGACGCGGAGCTACTTTTTGAACACACGCGACGTATCGTTGCTGCTGAATTCACGCATATCATCTACAACGAGTTCCTGCCAAGACTGCTTTCCTGGAATGCCGTCAATCTCTATGGATTAAAGTTGCTACCTTCAGGTATTTTTCGAATATGCCTACACAAAATTACGCCACTGAGACTATTTATATTTGCATATTAATGTGTAATCCATTGCATAATAATGTGTATTAATGTGTAAATTAAGGGTGATGTTTTAATATTAAAGTGGTAAAAGTGGCGGTTGAGAATATCCATTACCCCATATCTTCCCGTGGGTGTCGTAAGAGGTGACAGAGGGAGACAGGCAGGAGATGGGCAGCAGCATCTTCCTGATAAAAACAGTGATATAATAAAAACTGCGGTTGCCAACCCGCTCACCAATCGTGGCAACTATGGCAAATATCCCCCCATGAGTAACGACGCAATAAACGGCCCCTAGTCCCCGGCGGCCCCGCTACGGTGGCGGCCATGGTAACGGCGGGGCAGGGGGGTGCTAAGAATCTCCGGTGGAGGTTCGGTTGCCACCTACGACGACTCGACCTGGCAACATATAACGCACGCACCCTGAGGACTGACGAGAAGATACTGGAGCTGGAAGAAGAGGTAGACAAGTTGCGCTGGCATATTATTGGATTATCCGAGGTCCGAAGAGAGGGGGAGGACACGGCAATCCTCGAGTCCGGCAACTTGTTCTATCACCGGGAGGGCGCCCATCTGTCCCAAGGCGGTGTCGGATTTATCGTCCACAAGTCTCTCGTCAACAACGTTGTAAATATTGGGTGTGTGTCGACGAGGGTCGCGTACCTGATACTCAGAATCACCAAACGGTATTCGCTGAAGGTCATACAGGTCTATGCACCAACCTCGGCACATCCCGATGAGGAGGTGGAGGAAATGTATGAGGATATTTCCAGAGCCATGCATTCCTCCAAAACCCACTACACGGTGTTGATGGGAGACTTCAACGCAAAACTAGGCACAAGGGAAAGCGGTGAGCTGAAGGTAGGAAAATTTGGAGTAGGGCAACGAAACCGAAGGGGCCAGCAGCTGGCCGACTTTATGGAGAAAAAGAGACTCTTTATGATGAACTCTTTATTTCAGAAGCGGCCCCACAGGAAGTGGACCTGGTCGAGCCCCGACTGTTCGACATAAAATGAGATTGACTTCATTATGACGACCAGACGCCAACTGTTCAGTGATGTCTCAGTGATCGCAAGGGTGAAAACTGGCAGCGATCACCGAATGGTTAGAGGCACACTGAACCTAAACGTTAAGTTGGAGAGGTCTCATCTAATGAAGTCAACGCTCCGTCCCCCTCGTGCTCTAATCCAGAATCCCGAAACCTTTCAGCTCGAGTTACGTAACCGCTTTCAGTGCCTAGAAGATTGCAATGCAGTGGACGATATGAATGACAAGCTCGTGGAAACTGTCCATGCGGTCAGAGTTAAGTTTTGCAAGACCCGCCGTAGAAGAACACAAAAACTCTCCAATCAAGATGAGGCTGCAATCGTCAACAGATTTGACAGCATACAGGCAACTGAACAAACAGATCTCCAAATGCATGCAGCGAGACTTACGCAACTTTAATACTGCTCGTATTAAAGAAGCGATCGAGCGGAACCAGGGCTCCAAAGTCTTTGCCAGAGATCTGTCTGCCAGAAAGAGCCAACTGTCAAAGCTGAAGACTGAGTGTGGCAACATCGTTTCCGGGACACCTGAGATTGAGAGGTTCTATGGGCAGCTGTACACATCATCGTTGGAGCCACACGCAAGTGTGAGTAACGATCCAAGAGCAAGTCTTATCCGACACTATTTCGATGATATCCCGGACGTCAGTCTGAGCGAGATTAGAATGGCTCTCCACCACCTTAAAAACGGCAAGGCTCCGGGCGAGGATGGAATTACAGCGGAGCTTCTGAAAGCGGGTAGAACACCGGTACTTGAAGTCCTTCAGAAGTTCTTCAATTCCGTCCACCATGGTGGCACCACTCTGGAGGCGTGGAGCAGAAGCGCGGTGGTCTTGTTCTTTAAGAAAAGCGACAATGCTCTCTTGAAGAACTACAGACCGATTTCCCTTCTGAGCCGCGTCTACGTTCTGTTTTCGAGAGTCATTACGAATCGTCTCGCACGCAGACTCGACGACTTCCAGCCTCCCGAACAAGCAGGTTTCCGAAAAGGCTTCAGTACCATAGACCACATACATACCCTGCGGCAGATTGTACAGAAGGAAGTACAATCTGCCGCTTTGCCTGGTATATGTGGACTATGAGAAAGCCTTTGATTCCGTCGAAATTTGGGCGGTGCTACAGTCCCTTCAGCGGTGCCAAGTTGACTGTCGGTATATCAAAGTGCTGAAGTGTTTGTACAGAAGGGCTACGATGGCTATCCAAGTACAGAACTAGAGTTCGAAACCTATCCAACTGCAGAGAGGTGTAAAACAGGGTGATGTTATATCCCCGAAACTCTTCACCGCTGCGTTGGAAGACGTTTTCAAGCTACTGGACTGAAAAGAATACGGTATTAACATCAATGGCGAGTACATTACTCACCTTCGATTTGCCGACGATATAGTCCTTATGGCAGAATCGCTGGAGGACCTTAGCACTATGCTCAATGACCTCAATGGTGTCTCCCAACGAATAGGTCTTAAGATGAACATGGACAAAACAAAGATCATGTTTAATGTCCATGTCACACCTATGCCGGTAGTTGTTGGGAGCATTATGCTCGAAGTTGTTGACGAGTACGTTTACCTGGGACAAATAGTCCGACTAGGTAAGTCCAACTTCGACCGAGAGGTCAATCGACGGATTCAAATCGGCTGGGCAGCGTTCGGGAAATTACGACACATCTTCTCGTCAGGTATACCTCAATCTCTGAAAAGTAAAGTGTATAACCAGTGCATGTTGCCAGTGACGACTTACGGATCTGAGACGTTGTCCTTCACTGCTGGCCGTATGAGGATGCTCAAGGTTGCTTCGCGAGCTATGGAGAGGGCTATGATCGGAGTTTCTCTGCGTGATAGACTCAGAAATGAGGATATCCGCACTAAAACCAGAGTGACCAACATAGCCCAACGGATTAGTAAGCTGAAGTGGCAATGGGCCGGCCGTATAGCTCGAAGAACCGATAACCGATGGGGAAGAAAGGTACTTGAGTGACAGCCTCGTACCGGTAGGCGTAGTGTAGGGCGACCCCCCACTAGATGGAGTGACGACCTGGTAAGACATGCAGGAAGTCGATGGATGCAGGTGGCTCAGGACCGTGCTTTGTGGCATTACTTGGGGGAGGCCTATGTTCAGCAGTTGACTTGTGACGTGCTGTAATGATGATGATGATGATGAAAAGTGCTCGTCCCAATTTCTAAATTAAAAAATAATGTTTTGTTTTGATTAGATTCTTTTACCTAAGATTTTTACTACCTAAAATAGTTATTACCATAAAAAAATTCTATATTCCTTCCAGGTTACTACAAGGAGTACTCGCCAACTTGCAACCCGGCAATAGTGTCTGAATTCGCGTCGGCCGCGTTCCGTTTCGGGCACTCCCTGCTGCGGCCGCACCTTCCCCGCTTGTCGCCCAACTTCCAGCCCGTCGAGCCGCCAATACTGCTACGTGACGGTTTCTTCAAGCCCGATATGTTTATGAGCGTAAGTTTAGTTTGAAACTTTAAATAGAAGTTTAAACACGAACTACATAAATATTAAATGATTTTTAAGTAATAACTTCAAAAAATTGTTTTCTTGTTTAATCGCTATCTAATCGGGTGGATGTGATTTGAATTTCGATAGATTTGAATTTATTTATTTATTTAATTCAAAATTTTTGTTCTTATTTTTTGGAGCCGTGGTAGCTCAGATGGTTAACGCTCGCTGTAAATATAACAGAACGCGAGTAACCCGGGTTCGATCCCCGCCGGCACCAATGAAATTGTTAATTGCAATTTTAAGTGTTGATTTACCACGTGCTCGGCGGTGAACGAAAACATCGTGAGGAAACCTGCATGTCTGAGGAATAAGAAAAAAAATATTTCGAAGCCATGTGAAGTTCGCCAACACGCATTGGGGCAGCGCGGCGGACACTTCCTTGTCCTAAATCCTCTCCGAAATGAGCGGAGGCCTGTACCCAGCAGCGGGGCGTATATACGCTGTAACTAATTTTTTTTTTGTAAAATATCAGTGCCATAGGCTTCTACACCGTTCACATGTTGCACCCTATTTTTTCCAGACTGTGAAAAAGGTCGTCCATTATAATATACATAATTCTTCAATAGCATAATGTTACCGTGTAATAGCGGTGTAAGAACATTCAAAACCTGATCTCGTCCCGTGGGTGTCGTAGGAGACGATATAGAAAAACAAAACAGAAGATAGGCACCACCATATTCCTGATAATAACACAAAATAATTAAACAAAACATGTGTGCAGTTCACCGTTCACAGAAGTGAAGCCTTCAAATTATATGAAATATGAAATAAAAATTATTCACAACAAATTTATTTATCAAGATATTTTACAAACACAAATGCATTATAGAAAATAAGATTAAAATTAAATTTTATAACATAAGGCTAAATTTAAGTCTAATTAATCATAAGTATATTTTCTTTCGAGTAAAATTGCTTTGTAATAGCGCCATCTATTTCTTTCTGTAGGGAAAGTCATCTTATCGAACAAAAATTAATTGACTCTCAAGGTGGTACGTAAAATAGACGTTAGATGGCCTGAAGTTGCGAAATGGTGGATTGTTAAGAATGAATGGGATATGATAATTTTATTCCAAAATGTTTATTTTTTATATTCTTTATTGTAACCGATAAAATTTATATTCACCATATTTAAAGCATCACAAAAAGAAGAGGCCGAATTAGTAGCAATATCAACATTACTAATATTCCCTTTAACCACAATTGGAAAGCTCAAAATGTTTGTGTTAGGAGTGGGTTACGATAGTAGTCGAATGGCGGATCCGAACCCACAACAGACTACTTTGACTATTTTATTATACTGGCGGATCCGAATTCCGAACCCACAATAAACTACTTTGACTACTGTCGCTTACTACACTGTATTCTATCTCATTCTCTCGCAGGCAAATTTTATACATGTTTCTCTTTTATGTGTCGCTTTTTCGTTTCATCGATTTTCAAATCACAACGATTCTAAAGAAATTTTCACATCAAAACTGCGGGATCCAAGCCGCCTGCTAAGCTTTATTTTTTATTTTGTTTTGTTTAAAACTGGATTTACGGCTCTGGGTTCTAGCCCTTCTGACCCTATCATTTCTTTCAGAATCATCATTTTTATATATTTTTTCGTCACAATATGCTGATGCGTCAAGTTCCAATTTTTTTTGGGAGATTTTGACGACAAAGTTTTTGACGGTCCAAGCGATCAAAATAACTTGAGGTGTATATCAACATCAATGCCCTTGTTTCGTCGTTTTCTCTAATAGTTCACACGCCCAGACACATAATTCACAAATTCGCATCACTTTTACTAATTAAAATCCACTTCAATTCCTTTCCATTATTTAAGCGACAAAACAGGAGCGACAATCCGTCGACGGCCAGGTTCCCACCGAAACTCCCGCCTGCTAAGCGAGGCAACTGCGGCAAGAATCCTCCCATTGAGGCAATCCATACAGGAGGTCCATACAGTGGACTTCTGTAATTTAATAAAATGTAACAAAATGTTAAATTTTAATTATTACACTATTAACATAATATTCTGTTTTAGCATCCACAAATGGTAGATGAATTAATGCGCGGTCTATCTTCTACTCCTATGGAAACCCTCGACCAGTTTATTACTGGTGAAGTTACCAACCATTTGTTCGAAGATCGTCGTATTCCCTTCTCTGGTGTTGATCTAATAGCTCTTAACATCCAACGGGCAAGAGACCACGGAATACAGAGCTACAATAACTACAGAGCCCTTTGTAATTTAAAGAGAGCCACTACTTTCGAAGACTTGGCAAGGGAAATACCGGATGAAGTGATTGCCAGGTATGTTTGTGAGATTATCCTTTGCTTTGCATATATTCTTTATTTTCTATATTATATACTAACCTGAAAAGGCATGCGGGATATCAATCGATATAGGTGGAATAGAACCACGACTTGTCATGACCTCTGGGAATGCCCAATATTCAACAGCGGACTCGTAATGGACTGTATCATAAAATATAATACTCAAGCATATATAAACAATAAGCGGAAACTAAAATGTAATAATAGAAATTACACATACACACATTACATTTTCTGATGATCTCAAATATCTTAAATTTGAGCCATGGAGAAAACTTTTTGTTGAATATCAGAAGCTCAAGATAACAACTAGAATATCTCTAAATAGTTACAATAAAAACTTTATCCCTACCACTCTTAGGGATGTAATTTATTATTCAAATTGAATACTAATATTTTTATTGTATATAAATACCGCCTGAAGTATAATAATCTATTTAATAAAATAAATTATCAAAATTGGTTCACAATTGACGGAGATATCGCGTAACCTTGAACGAATTAACCACTGGACCCGACATAATATGAGCGGATGTACCTATATCGGTCTTGTCAGTAACCAAGAAATTTTAGCCTTGGTCGTTTGTTTTTGCGTCAGTCTCAAGCACTTACTTGTCGACAAACTCCCAATTGTTGTTCGTTAAATAAAAACTATAGCGGCGGAAGCAGTACTATTTCTTTTCACTTGTAAGTACATTATTTTATTACATTTAATGTTATTTATCACAAAATTTAATCAAATGTAAAACAAAATTTTGTATTATCCAACTATGTTAAAATATAATCGATATTTCTATGTATTGTTGACATCTGACAACCATCACAAAATGGCTGGATTATACCATTCAGAACGTATGACTAAAACTGTGGAGTGAGTCAATTTGACATCGACTAGTGCTTGACCATGTCGAAAAATATATCGATATTTGACGATATGACCGAATGAATGATGATGTTATTTGTAGAACACAATAACACTTAAGAATACTTATATCACAGTATCCTACAATCTGATGTCATTAAATTTATAATTATGAATTTTAATTTATAATTAAATAAAAATATTATAAATGCAAAAATTATAATTAGTAACTGTACTTAAAATATTTAAACACGTAAATTACACGAATTTTCAGATTTCCTAGTGACCCTTCTCGGAAGAGAAAGTGGGTAGAAGCAGTTCGTAGAGATGAAACCTGGATTCCGACGAAATACAGCGCAATATGCAGTGTACATTTCGATACTGCCTATTTTAATACTAATGCAAAGAAACAGAAAAAGCTCGAAAAAGATGCTGTTCCGACATTGTTTTTACCGATATACGTGACTTTATTAAAATGACTTACTTACATTGATGACATGACGAAAAATAATGTTTAAGTACGATTTTCACTTTCTTAAAATTTTCTTGCTTACGTATTATAATACAGTGCTTTTTACAGTCACAAGAACTAAGCTGTGATACCATGGAATATTCGAATTCAAAATTTCAAGCATCCTCTTCAATTACAACATCAAAATCATCTCCAAAAGTTGGTATTGCCTTTAACATTGAAATATTTATTATTTGTACCTTTTCAACCGACTTCAAAAAGACTTCAAAAAGGAGATTCTCAATTCTTCAGGTTTTTTTTGTATGTTTGTTACGCTATGTCTCCGCCAATTGTGTACCGATTTAAAAATTTGTATGTATTCGAAAGAATATGCTCTAGAGGTGGTCTCATATAAATTTAATACAAATAATCTACATAAATTTAATAATTAAAGCCTGTTCAGAGTTTTCAAACCTGTAAATTTTCTGCTAATATAAAGGTAAATCTCTTGTTTTTAGCCACAAGAAGTAAATAACACCACACATTGGTTGATTTGAATATTTTCTATTGAATGCTTAATACTAGCTGAAAATACAAACCCCTTACAAGAAGGTGTAAGTTCAAATAGGTATAATTTTGTTATAATAAATTTACAGTAATTTTTGTTACTAAAATTGTATTAACAGGTTTTTAACACTTATACTAAAGGAGATATACACTGTATAATATCTATATCTTAAATGTCTTTTATGTATCCAATTGTTGAAATGTAGTACATTGCTAACTTTACATTTTAACGTATAGGTGCAGTTGGTGCAAAAAACAAAGTCTAATCAAGTTCAATTATTAGACACTCCAAGAAAGATTAGACTGAGAAAAAAGATACATGAACAATCTAAAAAATTTAAACGACTACAATACAGTAATCGCCGTTTAAGGAAAAGAATGGCAACATTAGAAGAAATACTGAATAGTTTGACGGAAAAAAATCTTGTTACATAAGACGATAGCGTCCTATTGGAAAAACTTGGAGGAAAATCAAAGGAATTACTGAAAAGAATGAAGCAGAAAAAAGAAACTGGTACCGTACCGCGTTCATATACTCCAGAATTGAAATCGTTTGCCTTGACATTGCATTTTTATTCTGCCAGAGCGTATAAATATATCCGCAAAACATTTGATACTTGTTTACCTGCACCACGCACGTTAACAAGATGGTATAGTACCATAGATGGAAGACCTGGTTTCACAAGTGAAGCCTTAAAAGCAATAAAAGAAAGAGTGGGAAACAAAAAGGTCTTTGCAGCATTAATAATTGACGAGATGAAAATCATGGAGAGTGAAGATTATCATATAAATTCTGGACGAACATTTGGATATGTCGATTTTGGATTCAATGTCGAAACTGATTGTGAAAAAATGGCCTCAGAAGTATTGGTGTTTTTGTTAGTAGCACTAAATGAATCCTGGAAGGTCCCGATAGCTTATTTCGCCACAGCAGGGACAAATGCTGAACAGAAATCAAAACTTATATTGATAGCAGTAGAGCTAGTGCAAGCAAGTGGTGTGGAAATAAAAACGCTTACATTTGACGGCCACAAGTCAAATTTAGCTACAGCCAAGAAATTGGGATGCTGCTTAGATAGAGCAAATCTAAAACCCTTTTTCAAAAATCCCGTAAATGGAAATAATATTTATGTCTTTCTAGATCCATGCCACACGCTAAAAAATGTAAGAAACGCTTTCCAAGCATACGGAAATTTTGAGGATTCTGAAGGCAGAGAAATCAATTAGAAATAACTGTTCCATTCGGCGAACAAATTGCGAGCTCATCACATTTATTTTAGAAAATCATGAATGGTCGACTTGCATCTCAGCTATTTAGCGACAGTGTAGCTGATGCATTATTATTCTGTGACACAGAGCTTCGAATCCTTAACTTTTGTGCTAAGCTACGGCAGAATTTTTGAAGAAAATTAATATCTTGTTTGATATTCTGGATTCCAGAGTTCATCAGTATGGCTTCAAACGATTTCAATGAATTCTGAAAATTATGAAGCGGCCTTTAAAGTCCTGTAAGAAACAACAAAATATTTAAAAATATTAAAACATAATGAGACGAATATTATGGAAATGCTTCGCTTTACTGGCTTTCTTGGGTTCTGCTTGTGTGCTGAAAGTGCTAAGGGACTTTTTGAAGACCTAGTAAAAAAAGACATTCACATGTCATACTTGCCTTTCCATAAAATATCTCAAGATCACATTGAAATATTTTTTTGTAATATACGTAGTCATGGAAGATGCAATGATAACCCAACCATCAAGCTATTTGAATCAATATACAAGAGAATGCTAGTTCACTCAGAACTTATTGATGTAGATTCAGGGAACTGTGTACCGTTGGAATCCATTACAATACTTAACTGCTCATCTAAATCACTTGCCGAGAGAATAAATATGACAACGGCGAGAAGTAACAGCGACAACCAAACTTTGCATTTAACCCCGGATAGTGATGAACTGCCTCATGTGACTACGCTTTCGCCTTACGGACAAAAAGTGGTTGAATATATTGCTGTTTTTGTAGTTAACAAACTTTTGAAGTCATTAAAATGTGAAACTTGCACGTCTGCTCTCCTCCCTCAAATTGACACCAATGAAGGCAGTCTCATTGCCCATAAAGACAAGGGAAGACTGATACATCCCTCAAGTGACACCTAGCTATTTGTCAGCACTGTGAACTCGAACTTAGGAAGGGTGTTCAGAATAAGAGACTAAAAAAGATTACACAACAGACCTTCTTCTGCCGAAAGTAACAGAAACATTGCTGCAACTTCCGTTGTACGAAGACATTCATTTCCACAAATTTGAAAACGACGTCGTAAATCACGTCAAAGAATTAATGAAAGCCGTTGCTGAATATTATTTAAATATTAGAATTGCTTATATAAGAAAACAAGCCAACAAAACAAGTTCTAAGAAACACATTTGAAGAAAGATGATACATAATAAAAGTCAGTAAACCTATTTAAATAATTTAAACTTTACAAAAAATTTGACGTTTATATAACTATAATTGAATAAAAAGTCCATAACAATGCCCTGCTTCTTTTATTTTAATTAAATTTAAATATCGTAAGCTTACCTCACCTTCATTCTCCCTTTATTTCCTTTATCTTACAGCTTATTTACTATACGCATTTTCTGTATAAATTATAAAATATATCGATGAACGAATGAGAAATCGTTCATCGATATATTTTATCGGCTACGTTCAAGCACTAGAAATAGAGTTAACTTCTACGAATTTTCTATCTATGTTTATATTAACGTAATAAAATCTTTGTGTGGGTTATTCTCCACTTGGTTGAACGAGTTTTCATACATTTGTGTTTTATGTCGGGTCCAGTGGTTAATTCGTTCAAGCGCGTAACATACTAACAAAAGATGCAGTCGAACCGTAAAGGCTCCTCCTTCTTTTGAAGTCAGCTAAAATGTGCTTTACATATTTACTACATTTAAACCGAAGCAATAAGAACACTGTGCAAAAAGAGGATTACTTAAAAGCAGTGTCATAGACGCAGGACTCATGCTCTTAACTTTAATCAGTGAGTCCATGCATAAAAACGGTGAATAGATGATATTGTATGTGGTTACATGGTGGTATAACCAATGGTCAGTTTTAATAAAAAAAATGTCATTGTGACGGCCGTCCGTCACACACTGGTATTTATCAGAGGACAGAATCTAGTCTAATTTAATAAAATAAGTCTCGGTTAGGTTTTGACACTTGTTTAGAAACCATTCTCTTACAAAAGAAATAAACTATATTTCATGTTAAAATGTTGCAACAAAAGACAAAGTAAAATCTTTATTTTTATAGATTGAAGAGGATCTACCCAACCGTTGACGACATTGACCTGTTCCCGGGAGGCATGAGTGAGCGACCGTTGCAAGGCGGGCTCGTAGGACCAACTTTCGCGTGCATCATTGCCATTCAGTTCCGACAACTTCGAAAATGCGATCGCTTCTGGTATGTATTAGTAATACATTTATTGATTTTAATTATAATTATTATAATAATAATTATTTTAGAAATAATTATTTTGCTCTGTATAACTTACTTCTACTTCATAAAATATAAAATATATAGACTTTGTTCCTTAATATTCAAGAAAAAGAATAGATAATTAATATGCAAAATTAGTTCTTACAGAAACTGAAAAAAATCAAAATAATATTATGGATAGACATGCAGGGCGATTTTTTATTGAAATTACTATGGACATATAGTTTTTGTCGGCTTTTTTGTCATTTAGAGCTATGGTCAACTTTATCGGTTCTCATCGAGAAGATATGATCTTCTAGCATTGTAAGGGTGCTCCATTACTACTCTGATTTAATATATACTCAATAAATTTACTTGATTAGTCATTAGACGAATCGCTATCTGATTCGGAATCACAAGAGATTTCCTGCAATATTAAATTTGTCCAGGAAGAATATATTAACTATATATTTAACCGAGTAATTTGTTAGAAAAAGATAAGAGGGATGCTAAAACCAACAACAGTAAGTTTTAATATTAAAATTGATATGACTTTTCCTACTTTACTTTAGGGGGATGAGTCGCTCGCGTCCGTAGGCTTCGACCACCTAACCTTAGGCCCACCCTACACGTGTCTGCCGGGTGGTGCTAAACGAGCGACAAAGCTGAAAAAATAGACTCGGCTCCTCGCCGTATGGTTGCAGCGTAAAATCTACCATCACCCCTTGTTCGCACCATGAGTCAGGAAATAAAACAAATGGCCCCGAGTTCCCGGCGCCCCTTTAATGGGGCAGAGGTGCGAAGAATCTCCGGGAGAAAAACCGGCGACGAGGTTCGCCACCCGTCACGTTCTGTCTCCCGTAGGGGCGAAAAGTGGATTGCGAAAGCCCGTCTGGCTGCGCTGAATGTATGTGGAGTAATGAATGATAAGATGGATGAAGTATGCGATATGATGAATGACAGAGGAATAGATGTGTTATGTGTAAATGAGACGAAACGAAAGGGAAAGGATGCCACTGCACATGGCACGTATACCGCGTATTGGTCTTGTGTAGACGGGACCGAACGGGCATGCCAGGGAGTCGGTTTCATCCTTTCAGAAAGAATGGGTCAATGTGTGAAAGAGTATGAATGTGTAAGCCCGAGGCTGCTATGGATACGAATGAAAGTGGTCTTAAAGAAGCTGTTCTTGCTAGAGATGTACGCCCCAGACATGTCTAAGCCCACTTACATCCAGGAGCAGTTTTAGGACATGGTAAGGATGGTGTTGACAAAATGTAAGGAAAATGAAAATATTATTATGTTAGGAGACTTTAATGAAAGGGTTGGGGTGAAGATGTCAGGTTATGAAAGGATATTGGGAACGTTTGGTGATGAAAGTATAAATGAGAATGCTGAAGACCTCCTCACCGTATGTGTGAAAAAGAATGTTTTTGTGACGAATATTTTTTTCGTCATAAGAAGATTCACATGTATACATGGGAAAGAGGTGATGATAGAAGCATGATAGATTTCGTAAATGTGGATGAAAGAATGAGGAGCGCAGTCGTAGATACAAGGGTTTACCGCGGATTGTTAGCGGGGACGGATGATTACTTGGTCTTATGTCGAATTAATGGTCTTTTCAAGCGTTGGCGGCATCGGACATCTGTGTCTACCACTGCGTTACAGCGTATAAGAATAGAGAAGTTACAAGATGAAGATGTGAAAGAGAAGTATAAATGTAGACTGAGAGGAAATATTAGATGTTTGATTGAGTTGTGTATGAATGATTTAGACTTGAATACTGTGTGGCATAATATTAAGAAAGGTTTGGTGGATGCAGCCACCGAAGTATGTGTTGTAAGTAAGAGAACAAATGAAAGGAAAAGTAATACGTTGTGGTGGGATGATGATGTACGGGTGGAAGTTGAATCAAAGAAGAAAACGTAGTTGGATTTACTAGCAACCAAAGCTGGTAATTCTGGTGGTATGAATGATGAGATTTAAAGAAAAAAGGCAGAATTTAGACGTCTAAATAAGAGAGTAAAAGAAGTAGTTGAAAGGAAAAAGAAAGAAAGAACGGATAAGAATGATATCTGATAATTTCCAGGCCAATATAAAAATGTTCCGGAAACTCATAAGAACTGCCAGAGGATATCTGATAATTTCCAGGTTAATATAAAAATGTTCCGGAAACTCGTAAGAACTGCGAGGGGAAATACAAAACAGCCTATAATTAATGCTATAAGAGACGAGAATGGATGTATTCTGAATGATGAAGTTTCGAATTTAAACAGATGGATGGAATACTTTGAAAGCGTGTTTATGAGTGAAGAGTCGTCTGAATTAAATGAACTAGAAATTCCGAAAGAAGTGGCTAGAAATTCCGAAAGAATTGGAAAGGGGTATGGAGATAAGTGTAGATGAAATAATGAAAGCAAAGAAAAGCATGAAAGCAGGTAAGGCAGCTGCATATGATAGAGTATCACTCTAGATGTCAGGGCTGGAGAAGGAGTCGTGGCAGGCCTGCTGTACACCTTGTTTAATTTATGTTGGGAATTAAAACGGGTACCGGATGACTGGTGTAAAGCAGTTATAGTACCAATATATAAAGGAAAAGGGTCACAGCAGGACTACAAAAATTACCGTGGTATCAGCTTGCTTAGTATTGTGGGTAAACTGTATGCTAAGGTGTGTTAATTGAAAGAGTTATGAAAGAAACTGATGGAAAAATTTGGGATGTGCAAGCGGGTTTTAGAAAGGGAATGGGGTGTACAGATCAATATTTTCCATGCGCATGATTGCGGGTAAGCTTTTGGCCAAAAACAGAAGTTTTTTTGTGCGTTCATGGACTTGTAAAAGGCTTATGACAAGAGTGGACAGGAATGTGTTATGGCAAACACTGAACTCGTATGGGTTGAGCGCTGGTTTGATACATGCATTAAGGTCTCTTTATAGGGACTCTAGTGCTTGTGTCAGGATCAATGGGGTCTACTCGGACTGGTTTGGCATCCAAAAAGGTGTCAGACAGGGCTGTGTAGCTTCCCCTTGGCTGTTCGACCTATTTATGGACAGGTGTTTGCAAACTTTGAAAGATAAAGAATGTGGGTTAAGAATGGGCGAGTTAACCGTCAAATGCCTTTTGTATTCCGATGATCAAGTCATATTTGCGTCATCGGCGGCTGAGTTGCAAATGATGGTTACATTAATGAACTGGGCATTAAAAGAAAGGGGAACGAAAGTGAACGCAAGTAAGACGAAAGTGATGCTTTTTGAAAGAGAAGAAAGCAAAACGGTATGCGAAATAAGAATAGATGGAGAGTTAATTGAGCAAGTGGATGAGTTTGTGTATTTGGGATGTGTATTTAGCAGGGATGGTAGATATGATAGGAATATAGAACGACGAGTAAATGCAGGGAATAGAGTGAATGGGGCACTACACTCTATTATGAAGAACCAGAATGTGTCAAAAAAGGCACGTATGGTAATTCATAATGCTGTGTTAGTCACTACTTTAATGTATGGTAGTGAAAGCTGGGTGTGGCGGAAGAAGCACGAAAGTAGAATAAATGCTATAGAAATGCGGTCTTCAAGGAGTATGCTAGGGTTGAATCTGAATGACAGGGTGAGAAACTGTGTGATAAAAGAAGAGTGTGGTTTGCAAGATGATGCGGTGACCAGGATTAAGAAAGGAATGCTTCGGTGGTTTGGTCATGTAGAAAGAATGAATGCGGAAAGACTGACAAAGCAAATATATGTTGCAGAAGTGAATGGAAGAGTCGGAAAGGGACGTCCTAGGCGGAAGTTTGTCGACCAAATTGGCGATATACTAAAAATGGGCCAAATTAAGAGTACCCTTAACCGACGAGCATGTATGCGTAGATATATAGATGTAAAGGAGGCGAAAGAGGTATGTCAGGATCGTGCCAAATGGAAGTCCGTAGTCTCTGCCTACCCCTCTGGGTAACAGGCGTGAGTGTTTATGTTTTATGTATGTATGTATGTACTTTTCGAAATGAACTTTAGACGATAAATTATAAATTAATGATGATAAGAGCGAACAAAAGTGTATTTACTATTCTAATTAAACTGCATTTTTCTTTGAGTTGTACTTATAAGTCTAGATAAAATCAACTAAAAAATAACTATTTTGTATAAATTATGTTTTTACGTGCGTCTTAAGTAAGGTACAACCGGGTCCGAAATGACACGTATGTTATGCCCTCTTTCAACACCCGGATCATATATTTATTTCATATTTACTCATTACGATAATTCACCGTCTATTTTAATAAATAGTCATAAATGGTGTATTTTTAAAATATTGTTGTATAAACTTTTTTAAATTCATATACCATCAAAAGCCTTTCACTGTTTGTTTATTATTTTTCATTTCTTTTATTCATCTTTAGGTATGAAAACGACAACCCAGCAGCGAGGTTCACAGAACGACAGTTGGCCGAAATCCGTAAAGTAACGATGTCGAAAATTATGTGTGACAACTTTGATGTGCAAAGCGACGTTCAACGTGCTGCTTTCGATTTGCCGAGCAACTTCTTGTAAGTTGTTTTGTTTCCTTTTATCCAAAATATCCAAAAATGTTTACCAAAACTTAGTAACCTAAAAATATTGTACTACTATTATTTTAGATTAAATTTTATCTAGGTTTAGTTGGCTATATCTGGAGGCAGCCGATTGCGGGTGGTTAAACTTAGATGAATCCTACAAAATTTATAAATTCGACAAATGTCTGCGATTTCACAATTAACACCATGGAGGTTAGAGAACTCCATGATTAACACTTTACACTAATCCATTGTCTCTGATATTACATGCTTTCGTAATTTTGACAAATTTAACCGATTACGGTTGGTTAAACTTAAGTATACCTACTGTTCATCGGCGACTAAACCCGTGGCTCAATCATCTTGTAAGGCATTTTTCAAATCTTAAAACGCACAGAAAATTCTTAGTTTTTAACCAAAATATAGCGATGGGCCAAATTATGAGTAACCTTAACCAACGAGCATGTATTTATATATGAATGAGAAAAAAGCGGAAGGTGTGTCAGGTTCGTGATTTGTGTAGAGGGGAATTTACTTAGAGGATTATAAAACAGTTAGTCCGCCGACTAGGCTGCGCCAATGCATTGTGGTGGACCTCACATATCATCGCTATTAAATTTTGGATGCAAAGTTGAAACCTTTCAATTATTCATATTCATATTATTTGTTGCATTCATAATGTTACAGTTAAGGTATTGAGAACATTTTAAGTTTTAACTTAAAACTATGAGATCATTATGGGGCCTGAAGGGCACGGCAATTAGGAGAGAGGACGGCCGTTATAATGAAACAATAATGATAAATACACTATATAATATTGCAACTGTAGGTATTCTAGGTAGGCATTTAAAATGTATCATTTAAGTATTCATTTAGTGTGTAGTAGTGTTTACAAATTCCTTAAGTTTATTTATAAAATTACCTATTATATATGTACCTATTCTTCTATATTTTTATCGATTCTAGGAGTTTGTTAAAAATTTTGATAGACATAACGAAGGGACCTGATGAATGTAGTTCAAGGCGAGACAATATGAGTATAGTCAGTTTTTCTTTATGGCGTAATTGGTATCTGGTATTGCTTTCTCCTCCTTGATATAAAATTTTGGATATTTTATAATGAATTTGCAGATTTCTAAGATGTACGAGTATATGCACGGTGAGGTGAGTATTTTATGTTTGACGAAGTATGGTTTGCAGCTATCAGTATTTTGTATGTTAAATATTATTCGAATTAGCTTTTTTTCTTAGGGTTAAAAGATCAGAAACGTCTGTGCTATTTGCCCATATGATAACCCCATAGCAGAGCCACCAGTACGCATAAGCATAATAGGTACCAAGGCCGGTTTGTATATCGGTAGATTTTTTCACTTCTCGGAGAGCGTATGTAAAACTTGCTAATTTCCTTTTAATTTTCATTACGTGGGGTTTCCAGTTTTAATATATATATAAAACAAGTAGGGTGAATTTTATTTCAATATTACTAATTTAAAATACTACAAAACTAAAATAACTGAAGTAGTGCTAGAGTGAATTTGATAGTTCTACAATAATAGTACATAAAGGTCAATGTGAGAATGCTCTTTGGCCGGGAAAGAAAAAGGGGGAGATTTTCAGTTTCGTTTTGCGGCCGGTTTTAAATCCAGCGTTCGCTTCGTTCGCGGCAACGCTTCGTTTATTGGTAGAAGTTATTTTATACATCGAAGTACTTCAAAAACTTCGATAGCGTGATTTAGGCCTCGGTTTGCTTCAATTGTGGCGCAACAATAGCGCCACCACGTCACAGCAAAGAATAGCTTGAAGCGTGAGGAAGCGTTATTCCAATGCGATGACCCTTATCCAGCTAGGCTGGCTTGGAGGAGCTAAAGACTGCAGACGATGTTTGTTTAGGAGCGAACGGAAATGGTTTTTGAAGACGATGACGTAAGCTTGAAGTTGAGGTTTCCGGAAGGTTGCAGGTAGCGTAATTCATATTACGTCTGAGTCACCAATATTGTCGTGAAGGAAAAAAGATCTGCCGCCAAGCAAGATGTTCAGCCTAGGGAGTGACCAATGCTCCAAAATCCAATGAGCCCAGTGAATCAAATCGTAAATCACTATCGTATAATTCGCTTCGCTTGCGGCGCGACGACAGCGCCGCCACAGCACAATAATACGTTAAATAATAGGATCTTGAAACAAAAACAAGTTTGAAGTACAAAATATTAGGTGTTAGAAAGTATTAATTACTAATATTTAGTAATATTTCTAGAAATCCCCGCGTGCCTTGCGCATCATTACCTAAGCTAGACTTGTCAGCGTGGAGAGAAAATTCGGCGCAAGGCTGTTTGATCGCGGGTCGATCAGTTGCTGTCGGCGAGTCCGCTTTTCCCTCTCCGTGTACATCATGTATCTGCTCTACTGAAGGGGTGAGTAATTATCACCGTACAATTATGGAGTGTAGAGGTAGGGAGTACAGACTCTGTATAAAAAGTGTCCGTAGGAAAGCGCTAACTAGGTGGCGCTACTGTAGCTGCAGTCTAAATTTTAAAGTACTTTTTATAATTTTTTTATTGCACAGACTTTCACCATAATTCTTTTTACAATAATTATTTTATTGCTTCCAAAATTTTTATTTTCAAAATCACTCTCAACGTATTTTACGGCGATTTATCATACCCTGTAGCTACTCGAGCGCTGTGGTGGAGAGTTTTTGAACTGTTATTTACTGCTTACAGAAGGGCACATTTTCAAGTATTCTCCTATGGGTGATTGTCCTTCTTACCTCTATACTCCATGCGTACAATGTTACATTTGCCATAATATTTATGTAATAACACATAACTTTATTTATTCAAGCTTTGCACAAAAGTACTGTGTATAAGCAGTAGAGATGGGCCGATATTCGTTTCATATTCGGTATTCGGTAGCTATACCAAATATTCGTATTCAGCCGAATATTCGGCTAAATGACCGAACATTCGTTAAAGTCATGTATTGAAATGTACGAATGATAATTGCCTTTCATAATTTTATTTGATTTTTTTGAAAGTTGGAGGTCCAATTATAGCGAATAGAAAGCTCGATAAAATGTTTTTAGAATCAAACAAAGAAACACTACATTACATTAGTACATTTCACTTTACTTTGGTCGTCATTTTCTCTACAATAAGTCCAAATAGTAGATTACCTGCCGCCCATTTTTATTATATAATTGTCAATTTTCACTACGAATAACAAAACGAAATACGGTTTTTCTCACAAAACCAGTCAAAACAAGCCTGTTCCGGCAATTTGCTCAGTACTAGATGATGCAATAACATGTCAGGTGTGGCGGGGGAGCTAGGGGCAGGATCCGGCGCTAATCCCGCGCGCTTTACGGTAACAAGTTTCGACATAAATTGGTAAGGACCGAGGTTATCCTGCCGAATAATATTCGGCCTCATATTCGGTTCGGTAAAAGTTCTACCGAACTTGCGGCCGAATATTCGTATTCGGTGAAATCCATATTCAACCCATCTCTAATAAAAAGTAAGACTTATTGCCATTAGACATACTCTGGTAGCCTTAATGTAACTTAACGTTATGGATGTAAATCTTTTTTTATCTGCGGCTCTCGGTCGATGTGGTTTCGAATGATGATGATGTAAAGTGCTACTGCAACCTACTACAAAAAAATGATTATGGAATCTTTGTCAACCCTGGGCATTTACAAGTTAATGAAATACCTTACAGCCTGTAATTATTATACTGCTCAAACCTAAACATAACAGAGTAAAATCAGTATGAGGGTAAAACCAACTCCTCCTATCACCTTAAAACATTTTACAGATTAACGCTTATAATTCATGCTTGACAACATTATCTCATAAGTAATATTACTAACAGGCCCAGTGTGCGTCGCTACGAATAACGGACTGCGCGCAATTAGTACGCGAGTGGCCGCGCGAGGCGATCCTGCGCGACGACGTGTGCACCGCGCAGTGCGGCACACTAGCGCCGCCCTCGCGCAACGCTCAACGACGACCGCCACTTAACTTCAAGTTCCCTGACCTGTCGCCCTTTATAGCCAAGTGAAGAGACACTACGAGGGTACGCCCTCGACACCTGTACAAGTGCTATTTAAGCTAGTTAAACCAATTTATTGCGATATGTCAATCGTAGTTGTAAGACGCGTCAATCGCAACCCCAAGACTACTAGAAGATCCCAAATTAATTTAAATTCCTAGTGTCTAGTGTATTTTTGACGCATAAAATTTAAAAAAAAATTGGTTGTGTATATAAATTATATGCAATAAACTTATCGTTTGTTTATAAACCTTAAAATATATTTTTATAAATTTGTATGTACTTAATTTGCATGTAAATATCGGTTTAAATTATTTAATTGAAGTATGTACCAGAATTTAGTTTTAATACTCATAGTGACATTGTGTAAAAGTAAAACAAAAAATGTTATACAAATCAAAACGATGGTCACGAGATAGATGATCATAGTATTATTGTTTAATAATTACATTATTTTCTGCATTTTTATTTTTACGGAAAATCTAAACTTGTTATAAAGTCAACGTCGTAATGTTAACAAACTAGCAGACAACAAATTTATTATATTTTATGCGCTATAAGATATAATAAGTAGTATACTTTTATAAATATGTAACTAATATTTTCTGATTATTTTATCTATGTCGGTCAGAAATTATCTTTAATAATTATTTGTTAAAAAAATTCTTGACAATATGATATTGAAGCGTCACATTACAGAGTTTTTGGGAGATTTCCGTGACAGTTTAGCCAGCAGATGTCGATGACGATGGTATCTCAAGCATCAAGGAGCATAAAAAGCAAATTTATAAAGTTAAATAATTAATAACCGTCCCATTGCTCTACGCATTATTGACAGGGCAAGTAAGTATCCACCGCGCTGCCCAATACGTGTTGGCGAACTTCACAAGTCTTCGAAATATATTTTATTTTACTTAATTTCTGACATGCAGGTTTCCATACGATATTTTCTTTCACCATCGAGCACATGGTAAATCTGCTCATAAAACTGCAATTAACTAATTTCATTGGTTACGGCGGGGATCGTACCCGGGTACAGCAAGCACGTAGCCTCTGAGCTACCACGGCTCTTAAATAACTTGAATAATATAATTTAATATTATCATCGGAGCACTTGTTTCATTCATACTTTATACGTACTTAATACACAAAATTGCAAGCCTTTACGCAACCAAAATCAGGAGCAGCTATCCGCTGGAGGTCAAGTTCCCGCCAAAACTTCCTACCAAAGTATTAACCCAGTTGAAAACTCTTTTCTTAGACATTTATTTCAAAGTAGGTACTGTAATATATCTTTTTACTCATGATACTAAAATTATGAAATAATATAGGGCCATTTTAGCTTTAATGAACGAGACAAAATACGTAAGTTTAATTATAATTCGCTAGTGTTTACCAGTATTGCAACACCTACCTACCAACGTTACCATTACATCGTACATTATTAGATTCAATAAACTTAATACGTAACTTTAACATGTATTTAACATAAAAATAAGCATTTCCTTTTGTTAAGATAATACACTGCCTAGTGATGTGCCTAGGATTCTAGAACTTGTAAATTATTTTTGTAAAATATTGGCATAATCATTAAATAATTAGTTTTGTATGTTCATAGTTTTAACTATTATAATAAGATTTCAAAAATACAAATCTCACCAATTATTCTTCAATTATTTTACTTTCCTTCCCAAGCTATCCCTAATCAAGAGACCACTTTGTCGTCTAAAACCGCTTTCAATTTTTTTTATAGCATTTGGTGATAACGAGCACACAGTCCACCTGACGGTAAGTAGATTCTGTGACACATATACACTCACATTTATCCGCAGATGCATTGTCACCCCTGAGTACTATGATAGAATGCCCCGATTCCAGTAAAAAAGAGTCTCCGGTTCTCTACACTCACCATACGAAACACAGCTGCATTACGCTGCTATTTTACGCTGGTATTCTGTGAGAGAGTGATACTATCCCGTTCGTGCTACAATTATAACATAGCTGCTGCGTGGTTCTACCACGTACAAAAACAAACATCAATAAATGACATCCATGTAAATGTCAGGGGTGAAAACGCTTCTTTGTAATTGGTTACCGGTATCACTGGTGGAGGCTATTACAATATCGGGGAGTTTGTGTGTCAAAAGATACTGACGTTAAAAATTCGCGCTAAAAATATTTACTAGTCGTACTATAGTTCGGCCGTTCAGGCTACGGTCTCCTATTAAATGCTATACGCGACGTCCGACTTCAGCGTAAACGTTCCGATCGGCGTCTGAACGCCAGGCACAGCGTCAGCGGTCAATACATATCTTAGCAATGAACGACGTCTAGACTTTCGATCAAACAACAGTTAAATAGCTGACAGTGCCCACGTGTGGTTGTGTGTGATATTTGTACATAAAATGGATATACATTCAATACTTTTGGCGGCGCTTGTGTTACTTGAAGAAAAGACACAAGACGACGTATACGAAGAAAAATAAAGGCAACAAGGCACCGATTATTTATGAAGAGAAATGAAGAAGGATGTTTCCAGCTATTATAATGAAACACTTAAAAAACAGAAATTCTAAATTTACTGAATATTTTCTTATTAATCAAGAACAATTTAAACATAATAATAAATCAATAACTCGTCTTTTTCTTTATAAAATTTTGTCATTTTGTACTGACGCTAGACACGACCTTTACGCTGCAATGGTTCCATAGATTACTGACTATATACTAGAGAAATGGTTCGAAATAACTAGAGACGCAGCGCAAAGCGTCTTAACGCCGCCTACGACGTCCATACGCCGACATCAGCTTGTGAAAGAGACCACAACAGTACATTTCTATAGTAAGCATCGTAACGCGGCGTACGGCGTAACGCTGTAAGCGGCCGATGGCGTTTATAGGAGACCACCGCCTCAGAGAATGCGTTCCTGACACCTATCAGTTAGTCACGACTAGTGATGGGCACAACATAACACTGAGTTCGTTACCGTTTCTCCAAAATTAACCGCCGCGTTATTTTTAAGATTATTTTCGTTTTAAATTGGCGGAATCATTTAAAATTTATATTTTAGTAATTTAAGTGGAAACCAAAAAAAGGTAATATTAATACAATAAAATTGTTTTATTTATTCTTTGTTACAAAGTTACAATCTGTATTTCTATGCAATAAAGTACATTGAATTGAATGTGCGTACAGAATATTAATCAGACTCCGATTCGCTTGAGGAGGTGGTGTCTTCATCATCATTTTCGCCTACATGTATAATTATATTATTATCAATAACAGAATCAATCCTGATATCTCGTTCAAAATGTTCCACAATCAGGTTTTTAGTCTTCTCAACAAACTTTGCCCAGTCATCTCTTGTAACTTCCCCGCAGGCTTCTTTTAATAGGATCATCATCTTTTTCGTGCTGAATGGCGGGGAAGTATTGTGGCGGGCGGCGTAACCTTTTATTTGAGCCCAGATTAGCTCAATCGCGTTATATTGGCAATGATACGGTGGAATTCTTAGAAGGCGATGACCGTACTCCAGAGCCAGTTCATCGATTTCGTATCGCACATTTGCCGCTTTATTTTCTTTAACTAATTTAATTAGCTCTGGTTTTAGCATCTGCATATTTGCGTCAATGCCTTTTGCTTGTAACCAAGCCACCATTTCTTCTTTTTTATTAGCTTGGGTAGGTGGTTTCTGTATTTGAACCGAGTGATAGGAGGCATTATCCATGAATATTACAGAAAGCTCTGGTAGGCTGGGCAAAAGCACGTTCTGGAACCACTCTTTAAATGTAGTGGCATTCATTTGTGGTTTTTAATTGAAATGCCAGTAACGCGTTCTCCACAAAGCCGTATTTTGCAAAACCTGCGTGGCATATTATCAGACGGGCCCCCTTACCCATTGGTACTTTCGACGTCGACGCTTGTGTATCATTCGTCCAAGAACGGGAAACCGTGTGATTGGCATTTAGCCATGTCTCGTCAATGAACACGACATTATCCCGGTTATCAATATCTTTTGCTTCTCTCAAAAAACTTATCCGTTTTAAAATTATGTCGTATCGTTCTAATAAAATTTTTCTTTTGTCTGTTTTTATACGAAAAACCAATATCTTTTAAGATTTTAGTTAAAGCAGTTTTACCCCCGCTAAACAGTTCAGCTTCTCTTAACGATGCCAAAAGCTTCTTCCTGATGAGATATTTATTTCTGGAATAGTAACCATATATATGATTTCTGATTGCATCGGCGTCAAAGGTGTCAATATCTGTCACGGGTTTAGTTCTATGTTTCTTCTTCGGAGTACGTAAAATATTATCTTCCGTGCCAGTAGAGCCGAACTTTTCTTTATTAATATTTGTTATCGTTCGTTTGCTAACTCCAAGCGCCTGAGAGACGCATTCTTGTGCTTGTTCGACAGGTAACAGGGGTCCGCCATTTTGCCGCTCCCGCTCAAAGTAATCTTGCAGCTTGATGATTAACTCACGGGCTCCACTTTTCAATGTTTGTCCACCTTTAGGCATTATTATGCACCAAAAGTAAAAAGAACGCAATAAAAAACACAATCGAAGTCCGATTTAGCGCCGATGTCAGTTTGAAAAGCAGAAACAGTCCATTAAACGAAAGCCGGGTAATCAAATAAAAACAGATCGAAAACACTTGAAGAACGTGGTCTATGGGCACGAAACGACAACAGACGACTGTTTTAGCGTCACAAAATGGCGGCCCATAACGCCATTTGGGGTTACCATTTTCAACCTAAATATAAAAATGCTACTTTCTTTCGCGCGTTCGGTTTGGTCGTAGTTTTATTTTTATATTTAATAAAAGTTATCTTATAGTCCATTATTTTCAAATTCTTAAAAAAGAAAAACAAAACGTATTATTTTATAAAGTATAACTGTATAAGAACAGATTACGATACTGTTATTGCCTGTTATTGTTAGCACAGCACTACAAATGTAAAGCGCTGACATAACCTTGTAATAGCGCAGTATAGATTTAGAAAAATATTGTTTACCAAGTTATTTGACACTCAGTTTGGCACAAAATTATAACATTCATTGATTATTGATATAATAATGTTATTTTAATCTGCTCATCAATTGTTAAAACGGTAAACAACCAGCAAAAATATTTTTATCGTAACTGCAACGCCATTACAAAGTTACGTCGTCAGTTCAATCGCGACGTGTCAGGAACGCATTCTCTGAACGGCCGAACTATAGTAAACATTTTTATTGTTATTAATGTTTACTAGTCACACTAGTAAACATTATTGTTGTTAATGTTTACTAATCGTACTAGTCATACTAGTAAACACGTTTACATTTTAATCAGATAAATACGAATGAGCCAATTAAACAATAGAAATCTTATTTACAAATTACTTTATTTTGTTGCATATTATCGTCGAGTCTATTTTGTTTCTTTTTTTACAATAAATACATAACGTTTTTAGTATAAAAAGTGGTGTTGCATGAAAAAAATAAACAACACAAACACAATTCGATAACGTAATATAGTCTTGATATCGATAGTGCGGGTGACCGCCACGTTATGAACGTCAATCACTTGGCCTGGTGGCATACACTACACTTGGTCGCAATACCAAGTGTTTAATTTTGATTGCACACTCACTGCTCTTCTTCGTCGCTCTGCAACAAAAACAACTATAATAGTGCTATATTCTCCTCAGTGTCTCTTTCGATATAATAGCATCAGTAGTCTAGTGCAAGTTCAAAGATAATTAACATCACAGACCAAAATTTTCTTTGAAGCACATTTTATTAAACTGAAGGGACATGATGGTAAGTGGCTACAGCAATCCATGGACCTGCAGCCAACTTCAAACAAAGAAAGCAAGATGCTTGATCTTCATCAATGGATTAAGATGGAATACCTAACAGTCTGTAACTAATTATACAGTCTCCCTATACCGTTCCACAGTTTAAAAATAATCTAACATTTGTGAAACGCCTTTGATGTCAGACGATGCCGCCGCCCGCGTTGTTAAGTACCCGGACGCTGTGTGTGTTATAGGTTGTCACGAAATTGGGAATAAAATAAAATATTATAATACTCATTATCATTAATTATTATGTGCATGTTTATAAGTTAAAAACACTAAACAATATCATTTTAATTACATAGTTATTCTTATACATTATTACAAGTGGTATACTGTCAAATATTTTCGTGACACTGTCTTTTTATAGATTTAAGTTTTCGATTGTTAAATTTAATTATGTAGTGTATTCGCATTCAGATAAACAATTTTCTCGAAAACAATGAGCGAAACATAAGCATCATCGTGCCGTCATTTAAATTCAACTTTAATTAGTATTTCATACCAGTATAACAGTAATTTACCATTATAGATATTATATATGTCGAAAACGGCACTTAAACTCAGTTAAATAAGTACTTTAATATAACACGCTCGCGTCAACCGCACGTATTATCCAGCAAGCAGACTTAGTGGAGTGCGGTAGCACAAATTCGCACCGCCCCCTGCCCTGCAAGGCCCCCGCAGTTGCTCTGCACAAGTACATTCGTTTCCCAACTGTTAGACTATCTTTAGACTGTGACCATTCAGACCAGAGCACATAAGTGCAGGCAATGCTATTGGGAAACAGAAGTAGGTACGAGAGACTACCACCACATACCGAGACGAACATCTAGGCAGATAAAGGAGTCCTACCACCCTTCTACGTTTACTAGAGGCGCGACATCTGTCGACAGCTGTCCTGTGGGAGCACTTAACATGTTGTGGGTAGTATGTCATTTGGCGACGAAATATTAAGTCCCGTTGGCGAGCGGCGCGGCCTCTATCGACAGCTATTCTACGTGCGCACTCACCGAGTCGTGGCAGGGGTGTCAGTTGGCGGCCAGCTCCTTGTACCCGTTGGCGGGCGGCGCGGCCTCTATCGGCAGCTACTCTACGTGCGCACTCACCGAGTCGTGGCGGGGGTGTCAGTTGGCGGCCAGCTCCTTGTACCCGTTGGCGAGCGGGGCGGCCTTTATCGGCAGCTACTCTACGTGCGCACTCACCGAGTCGTGGCGGGGGTGTCAGTTGGCGGCCAACTGCTTGTACCCGTTGGCGAGCGGGGCGGCCTCTATCGGCAGCTACTCTACGTGCGCACTCACCGAGTCGTGGCGGGGGTGTCAGTTGGCGGCCAGTTCCCTGTACCCGTTGGCGGGCGGCGCGGCCTTTATCGGCAGCTACTCTACGTACGCACTCACTGAGACGTGGCGGGGGTGTCAGTTGGCGGCCAGCTCCTTGTACCCGTTGGAGAGCGGCGCGGCCTCTATCGGCAGCTACTCTACGTGCGCACTCACCGAGTCGTGGCGGGGGTGTTAGTTGGCGGCCAGCTCCTTATACCCGTTGGCGAGCGGCGCGGCCTCTATCGGCAGCTACTCTGCGTGCGCACTCACCGAGTCGTGGCGGGGGTGTCAGTTGGCGGTCAGCTCCTTGTACCCGTTGGCGAGCGGCGCGGCCTCTATCGGCAGCTACACTGCGTGCGCACTCACCGAGTCGTGGCGGGGGTGTCAGTTGGCGGCCAGCTCCTTGTACCCGTTGGCAAGCGGCGCGGCGTCCTGGCTGCGGCGCCACAGTCCGTACACGCGGCCGGGCACGCCCTGCCACAGCCGCACGGTGCCGTCCTCCGACCCGGTCGCGTACAGCTCGCCGTCGGGAGACCACCGAACGATGTGCACCGGTCCAAAGTGCCCTTTATTTGATTCTGCGAAAAATTGCAAATATAAGTACATTAATTTACTACACAACACAATGGCACGACAGTTAAATTATCGGGTACTTAAATCGGACGCAGTTTAATGTAAATTATGTCTTTGTTGGGTTATATGTAGCATTATAGCCTAAAAAATTGTTGTGGTAGTTATGGTAACGAAAACAAGTTGAATGGAAGTTGTTAACTTTGACTAAGCTTACTAATTTGTTTCTTCTTTATAAACACGTAACAATTCTGAAGTACATAGGCCTCTAGTGGCCAAACACTCAAACGTTACTCAATTTTATGATGCCGTTAAGTTTCGTGGTATCACAGTTACTTTTACTTAAAGTGAGACAGCACGAAACTTAACGGCAATTTGCATAGGTGAACAAAGTCATAATAATTGAAGAAATTAGACTTCGAAAAAGCAAGTTAAGAACGTTTAACGCGAAATTATTTATTAAACCGTGTTTGTTTATGAAAATAAAAGTGAGTGTTGAATAGAATATGCTTTAGAAATGTCTTTACATCTGGATTTAAAGCAACGCATTTTAACTTAAATGCGGATGAAGCATTCTTAACAAAAAAGGTATGTAATAAATTTAAATATAATTTAAATTATAATAATTTACATAATTTACTTACGGTTAGCTAGAGGACAAAGTATACTTTGGGCTTTAATAATTTAATAATAATAATGTCCTCCAGACCGAATTTCGGTCAAGGCGGCCAGCCTTAAGGTGAAACCTACGGACTGTTCCCAGCCATTCTCCCGCAAGATGGCGCTGAAGTCAACATTTTTAGTTTATTAGGAGTTTTGTGTAATTGGAAAATTACACAAAACTCGAAATTAAAAATAAAAAAATTAAGTCGTAAGAGTAGACTTAGCGGTTATCGGATATTACATTTTATTGGAATGGGTCATATCATTGCCTCAAAATCAACCCAATTCGACATTAATTTTGATTATAACATCTGTCATTGAATATAAGGTCGTTTACACACACATAGACGTATCCCTACGTTTACGAAGCTAGAACACTAGATGGCGTGTATGTAAAAAAACAAGTTTTAATTTTTCTGTATGTGTAGATTGGGTAGGCAGAACTACAAAACGCTATGTACGATTGTTATAAAAATGAAATTTATATTTGTTGGCGTAAACTATTTAATTGATTTATAACTTTGGGAAATAAATTATGTCAACATTGATTACAATATAACGCAGTTTTATTTTATTACATTACACCATTGAATTTTTTATCAAAACAGAGGTACCTATTTGAAGCAACATAATTATACTGATACATGCCTATTCACTCAAAACTAATAACACTGATGATTTGTAACAGTACCAATTATTACAATAATTAGACATTTCATAACCAACACGTAAGAAACTATAATTCAAAAACAAGAGATAACAACAAATCTATAACACGATTTATTTTGTGATAATAACCAGGAAGTTTGAAAATAATATTTCCTAATTTCGAAGCACTTAACAAAAGCTTTTAGTAAAACAAAAATATAAATCCTATACCTACGAGCAATGCTTGTATATATATAATCGGAATCTCGGAAACGGCTCCAACGATTTTCATAAAATGTCGTTTTATCCCCGTTTTCAGGCAATGAAAAACTGCTACAATATAAGAAGGTAAATTTTAACCATTGAGCTATTATGTACTACGTACTAGAGGCGACACTGCATTCAGCTACTCTGTTCCACTCAACTGCGGTGCATACACCGCACTTTAATTAGTCACTCGCTAGGCGCTTGTTTAAAAGATTCAAATGTCACGTATTGTGTTGATTAAAAAAAATCTCTTGATAAAAATGTGCCGTCGTGTGTACTTAGATATTGCACAAATAATTCAAGAAATGCCAGTAAAAACCAAGGAATTACTTTTCATCGCTTAATAAGATAGTTAATCAATAAAAAAGTATTATAGATTAATTATAAAACAAATTATTTCTAAGACGCCATCTCGTGTCATGGAATATAGATTATGAAATTAATATGTTCAGATGCGACATTTCTGTGGGTACTTAAGTATAGGACGAATATATATATATATATATATATATATATATATATATATATATATATATATTATACATTTTTTTGTAGAAACATGTATAAGTTATTATAACTAGGCTAAATTTTTAATGTTTTAATCTGCTTATTATTCTTTTATTTTATTTTTAGGTTTCCACATTTTTTTGTAGAAAGATGTATAAGTTATTATAATTAGGCTAAATTTTTAATGTTTAAATCTGCTTATTATTCTTTTATTTTATTTTTAGGTTTCCACATTTTTTTGTAGAAACATGTATAAGTTATTATAATTAGGCTAAATTTTTAATGTTTAAATCTGCTTATAATTCTTTTATTTTATTTTTAGGTTTCCACATTAAAGTCAATGTAAAATAAATTCGTCCATTTTTAACTCTCGCGTGCCCAGCATTTATGAACGACTCTTACTCTAATTTAAATAAATATATTTGTAATTTAAATGTTATGTTAATAAGTTTTAATAAACATACATTTAGTATGTTTTTTATATAAAGATTTATTTATTATATATATATCCTTTCAGCTGCGGAGACTCTAACCGTAATTCTCCGTTGACTGCGGAGCTGTTTAATAAAATGGACGGCTGATTGGGCCCAATCCGTTTAAACGCAAATATCTTGATTTTGGTATATCGAATACTATAATATGTATACATTTCTGAATTCTCTATGAAATTTCCTATAAACGAGTACATATATTTAATAAAGTTTAAAGTGGTTAGTATAACTAAATATAGAATAAAGTCAAGACTATCATATTTCTCAATGACACAAAGTTTTTTAATAGTTCAATTTTATTTTATTTTAATCTTACGTCTATTGTTTACAATATTTTATGTGCAAAATCATAGGCTACAATATAATTTTTTATCGTAAAACGCATTAATAATAAGCTTACAAGAACCCACAATCAATTTACACCGATGTAGAATGTAGTTCGGACCAGATGCGGCATAATGCGGCGTAATGCTTTAGTCAATAAAAATAGTTTTTTTTTTATTTCATTACAATGATTCAGTCTTGAATCTCTCTTTTTCTTTACATGATTCAGTCATCTTTCAATAGGTCTTGCTAAGTTTTAGAAATCCGATTAAGAAGTATTTCATGAGTACTCTTAATGCCGATATCAAAATTTTAGTCGTAAGTGCCATATTTATTGAAAAATTAATTACTTTATTTGAGCAAACAAACTTTAACAGCACTTGTACAGAAATAAAGATTCATTCATTCCTTTAAAAACCATAAAACCACTCAAGAGTCACTCCCGCTGATGTAGAGTTATAAATAACGTTTTTTGTAAACAATACCCAATGCACCATAATATGTATCGAGTGACAGAGGCGCCGCGAGGTGCGCAGCGGTTATGTTACATTTCCAATAACCAATAACATTATTTCTCCAAACGGTAACATATTTCCTTTAACACAAACAATAGCTGCGAAATAATAAAATTTAAAATAAATATATCTCTTTCTGAAATAAAAAAAAATATTATTTATGTATATTTTTAAAGAACCCACTTCTTATGCATTATACATACAAAAATATGCCACAATTAAAGTTCGATTCTGCACTTGTTTGTGCATCATGTACTAGTTCATTAAAACATTTTTTATACGTGGTCGAGCCATGCTGCAGTTATATTAGTAGTTTAGTTGTAGCACGAATAGGCCGGCTCGACCGGGGAAGGACCACGCTCTCACAGAATACCAGCGTGAAATAATAGCTTAATGCTTCTGTGTTTCGTATGGTGAGTGTAGAGAACGGGAGAGCCTTTTTGCTGGAAACGAGGCGTTCCATCTTAGTCCTCACGGGTGACACGCATTTTTGCATTTTGATTTGTAATCGAGGATAGATGTAGATGTCTATGGGCCGCAGAAACCACCACAGATGGACTGCGTGCTCGTTTGTCACCCTATCCTATAGAAGAAAAAAAACATACAAAATAAAGAGGTGTATTCATTTCAACGATGAGAGCCATGGTGGCTCGGAAGAGCCGTGGTAGCTCAGATGATTAGCTCTCGCTGTAAATTTCATAGTACGCTAGCAAGCCGGGTTCGATCCCCGCTAGCAATAATGAAATTGTTAATTGCAATTTTAAGTGATGATCTACCACGTGCTTGGCGGTGAAGAGAGACATTGTGAGGAAACCTGCACGTCTGTGAAATAAGAAAAAAAAATATTTCGAAGACATGTGAAGTTCGCCAACACGCATTGGGGCAGCGCGACGGAAACTTCTTTGCCTTTGCCCAGCTGTGGGGCGTAAAAAGGCTGTAACTTAACTAACTTAAGTATTCATTTCGACGATGAGAGAGCCCTGGTAGCTCAGATTGTTAGCTCTCGCGTTAAATTTCAGAGTACGCTAGCACACCGGGTTCGATCCCCGCCGGCATCAATGAAATTATTGATTACAATTTTAAGTGCTGATTTACCTTTGCTCGGCGGTGAAGAAAAACATCATGAGGAAGTCTGACTGTCTGAGAAATAAAAAAAATATTTCCAAGGCATGTGCAGTTCGCCAACACGCATATGGGCAGCGCGGTGGATA